AGTTTACATATTGTTTTCATCTCATAAAAAAATTCAGCTCCAGTCTCGTGTTAAAATGCCCGAATCGGAAGGCAAGATTCAGGAATTATTTTGCGTCAGCCATGATTTGACGTGAACCTCAAGTGAAATACTGTTATGACACCTGCACTAGCTTGTTCTTGATGAAAGAGCAGATTACTCTATTTGCATAAATGTACCACAAAATTAGAACTCTTAAGTGTGCAGTGTATATAGGGCTCTTAAGCACATGAAAAAAAAAATCCATTTTTTTCCTCATTTTCACCTCCTGTTAATGTTATGTTTCATCATTGGGTTATTTTTTAATTCTTTTGAATGCCATTTAAACATTGAATTGTGAAGTGTAGATACATGTGGTATTACATGTACTGCAATAATTATTTTCAATAGGTAAACACAATAAAATGCACTATTCCATCCTAAAATGTTTTCAACTATGAAAATATTTTTACATCTTCTTCTGTGCCAACCCCAAAGTTGCGGGGTATTATTATCATAGTTTACAACTGATTATACGTCAAACGTATACGACAAATGTTTATTAAAATTAATAATAGTAATTGGCTATGAGTTGACTTATAGCCTTGAGTTTTCCACTTGTACACTGATGATTATTCGTGTCTCGAACTTGATTCTAATTGATTTTCATGGTCAAATTTTAAGAGTCAAGGACACACTTAAAGATCAAAATTTGTGAGTGAAATACAATTGTTTAAATATTGTTGTTTTTTATGGTAGGATGGTCCAAATATAGTATACAATACGTACCTCTTAAACCCTGAGAAGTTCATTGTGTGTAAATCTTGATTATAAGGCATAGGTACAGTCATAAATGTAGTGTGTGTCATACACAGGTACAGTCGTGGATGTTGTTTATAAGGCACAGGTACAGTCATGGATGTAGAATAAAGTGTGTGTACCGGATAGATACAGTCGTGGATGTTGTTTATAAGCACAGGTACAGTCATGGATGTAATAAAGTGTGTGTACTGGACAGGTACAGTCGTGGATGTTGTTTATACGGCACAGGTACAGTCATGGATGTAGAAAAAATTGTGTGTATTGGACAGGTACAGTCGTGGATGTTGTTTATAAGGCACAAGTACAGTCATGGATGTAGAATAAAGTGTGTGTAATGGACAGGTACAGTCGTGGATGTTATTTATAAGGCACAGGTACAGTCATGGATGTAGAGTAAGATGTGTATACTGCACAGGTACAGTCAGGGATGTTGTTTATAAGGCACAGGTACAGTCATGGATGTTGTTTATAAGGCACAGGTACAGTCATGGATGTTGTTTATAAGGCACAGGTACAGTCATGGATGTAGAATAAAGTGTGTGTACTGGACAGATACAGTCGTGGATGTTGTTTATAAGGCACAGGTACAGTCATGGATGTATAATAAAGTGTCTGTACTGGACAGGTACAGTCGTGGATGTTGTTTATAAGGCACAGGTACAGTCATGGATGTATAATAAAGCGTGTGTATACTGGACAGGTACAGTCAGGGATGTTGTTTATAAGGCACAGGTACAGTCATGGATGTAGAATAAAGTGTGTGTACCGGATAGATACAGTCATGGATGTTGTTTATAAGCACTGGTACAGTCATGGATGTAATAAAGTGTGTGTACTGGACAGGTACAGTCGTGGATGTTGTCAATCAGGCACCGGTACAGTCATGGTGTAAAATTTCTAGAGTTGTCAGGACAGGTACAGTTGTGGATGTTGCATCCCAAGAAATTCTTTACGATTTTCTTTGAGCTGAACACAATAAAGGTGCTATTAACGCTATTCACCGATATTCCCTATAGATTGATTCCAGACAATTGATTGCAGAATCTTAGAAAGGCGGATCTAATAAAAATATTTACTTATACAAATATTTTCTTCGGATGTTATCGATAATTATAGCAGTAATTTCCTTTAATATGATCAATTATTTTAATACCATACCCTGCATATTTCAGGTATCACCCCACGGTTATCGTCCAGTCAAAATGTTTATAAATTGTTCCATGCATATAAAATTAATATTTATTTCTTTTGAGAATTTTTTTTTTTTTTTTGGGGGGGGGGGGTCTTCCAGCCTATTTTTACAACTTTGATACCTGTGCCTAGTAAATTTTATGTACTTTGTAAATAAATAAAGGTTTTTTTGTCAGGAACTATTCTTTTTCAGGGCATAGGAGGCTACTTCCTGGGGTGCACTTGAGATGTTTATATATAACACATTGAAAACGGGTGGATCAGCCCATTCCACCCGTATATATCGTAAGACATACAAATGTACATTTATGGGGGGGAAAACTGTGTTTTTCATTGACACCACTTGCGTGAACAATGAAATGGGTGAAATTAATAATATTAATATTAATTATACTTTCTAACATAAAATTAAGGATTACAGATTATTTCCAATATTTATTTAAATTTCCTTTTTTTTATTTTACTTTGTTTATTGTTTACGCGTATATTTTCTTTAATTATACTAGCATGTTTCATTTTAAATTCATCATTATTATTGAGCATGTAGGATATTGAAATCATGCCCCCAGCCCCCCCCCCCCCCCCCCCAATAATAAAGACCTGGCTCATATTGTACTCTGAACATAAAGCTTTAAATTTTAAATCTGTAAAAGTTTTGGATCCTTCCCTAATCACTGCTGACATCGTTTGTCTCGGTATCATTGTCATGGGTAATATAAAGATTAGCGTTAATTGCGCTTTGATTGAATTCAGTCAAAATTTAAATCGGAGAAAATCCACAGAATTTTTTGTCGTGGATGTTATTAATCAAGCGCGGGTTGAGTCAGTGGTAGTGTGTATGTACGGCACAGGTACAGTCGCAGATGGTGTATATCAGGCACAGGTATACAGTCATAGATATAGAAAATTTAGGCATAGTCAAGTTTACATATATTTTCCGCGATATATTCACTAAGCTAGTTATCGTTACCGTTTTGGCGATTACAGCCTTCCATAAAGTAGATTTATTTAAAATCAGAAATTTTCTTTCCTCCATATTAACACATTTCGATTTTTTCATTAAAAAAACAATCCATACTTAATTAACAACATATAACTTAATATGTTGAACAATCTGGAAAATCTTGCTCTGACATTCCGTTTTTGATATTAGTGAGCAGGTACAGTCATGGATGTCCGGTACCAGCACTGCCGAGTACAGTTGCGGATGTTAGCTGACAGACCCCACTCATTTACCGGAACTGATTGTATGGCGCGCTAGAGTTGTAATTTATGCACTTGACCTTAGGTTACTGTCTATTTTCGTTTGGTGGTCTTTTGAATGTATATTGCTATTTTCTTCCGGATTGTGACATTTATTTGAGTGACGAAGATTCTTTGTAGTAAAATGTTTACAGTTATGTTACTTTGTGTATAATTAAAGTTGTATTAATTATTTTATTTGGAAGCAACCATAGTGTCTCCGGTGGTTTCCAGCCTTGCGCGTGTTACCCCGGTGGATCTATAAGGCTATATAAACAGCCGGTAGACTTTCACCGGCACTTTTCCAGTTTTTCTTTTAACAGAATAGACGTTACTAATATCACGGAAGTAAGTGTAAGGAAATAGAAGGTTATTCCTTCTATCTTTGGATAAATGGTAATTTAATTAACGGGTTAATCCTTTAATTAATTTCCTAATTAGTGCAAATTAACGAATTTCGCAGTTTTTATAGAAAAAGGACTAGGAATTAACGTATTTAATTAATGGGTCAATCCCTTAATTAATTACCATCTGAATTCTAATAGAAATAGGAACAATTTTATTTTCAAAAAAAGACAACTAATAATATTATCTAAGATTTAGAGATTATTTCTCTGAATTCCGGACTTCGTTGATAATTATTGAGATCTCTTGATTATTTTAAGAGACTTAATATAATTCTTCAGGCATAGATATATATATCAAGGGTTATTCCCAGGATATCTACTTTGGATAAAGTGATCCCTCTATTTTTATAATTTGGAATTATAAAATATTGATATTGTAGTGTACTTATAACAAAGTGGATCTTTGTGTGTTGTATTGACATATAGTGTGTATTTATGTCACTGAGATGGTTATACATGAACAATAAATCTGTAAACTAAAATGTCTGTTACATTAAGCTGGAAAGTCAGTCTGGTTATTCTGGACTTAAAACAAATCCTGACAAGAGTAAATAAAGAAAACATCCTGACACCTTTTTAGTAAATTATTATAATAAGCACTACCCCTACATTTTGTACTTTACTGTCCTCTGAATGATAATTTTCGATTTCAATATTGTGATATTTTTTATGATAAATTATATTGTTGTACAGATCTCATGAAAGAAATTGTTAACCCTTGTGATTATAACACTACAAAACGTTTATGTAACTACTTAGATAAATGCTTTTTGCAGAGAAAACAAATCCAGGGACTATAAAGAATTGTAAAAAATTGTCTTGCATGCTATTAATAGCCATTATGTTATAATATTTTTTTTCCTGTTGTCTGTCATTTGATTTCTTATTTTGACTGTATACCAACATGGTGATGCCAATAAATTGAATTGAAATGAAAAAAAATTAAAGCGAGAGAATGCGTTAAAAGAAGCTCCGACTGAAAGTGCACTAAGATCATGCTCAGCTAGATAAAGCATTGTTATCCATCAAAACTTCTGAAAAGTAGGAAATAAGAATGTAAATCAAATACTCCTGCCTATTTTTGTCTTTGTGCATTTCAACATACTGTTTATTAAAGGTTATTGAGGCTAGCACGGTCTAATTTGTCATTACTAACATTAATCCATTTTAATCATACATAAACTCTACGCCAAGCCAGATTGTGAAATGCCAAAGGCATACTTAATGAACTATCATTTTAATGGCCAGTATTTTGCTCATACGTACGTATAAATGCATTGATTTCCTCAGTTGTGAACATAACTGAAAACAGGATATTTTTGGGTGGTTTTTGAAAAAAAAGCAAGAAGAATGCGTAGAATTATCTTTCCATTTCTGCTTCTATTCTCTTTTGGTTTCTCGACTTGTGAAGTATATTCAGAGGTTGGTTTACATTGTTTAAAATGTATTTTGGGGCGGATGGGTGGGTTAACGTCTTTAGCGATTTTCATCAGAAGTATTTTAAGCTCGTCGTGAAATTCATTATTGAAATTTTGATAAGTTTACAAATCTTGAATTTGGAATATCAATAACTGATTTTTTTAAACACTCTAAGTACAATATAAAGTTATCAAAAATCTCACCAGATATCGGTTCTTGAAATTTAATGCGTAAATGTAAGAATCTACATTTGTACTTTAAAAATATGGAATTCGCGGATTCATTATTTGAAATATTGTCTATCATAGGTGAAGAAGATGGCCCAGAGGTGCGATTAAAGGTACATTTTTTTTCAGATCAAAGGATTGAAAGATGGACAAGAGGAAATAAAACGTATGTTGAAAAAAGTCCTGTTCAGATTACAAGCAAGCAACTCAAGTGCGCCAACATCTTCTCCAGAGACTGACCAAGGATCATCTTCGGTATAAAATAGGAACTTACTTTTGCTAAATTCTTAAATGAAAAGAGGAATTTTTCAGACCATCAGTCAAGGTAATGGTAACACTTTTTTCTCTGATGACGGAGTAGTGTGATATGATCTTACATAAGAGCATTTGGATAAGAACAAAGGTTTGGAATAGTTACTTTACGGTAGTGATCATTAGGGGGATAAAGGAACTTGCACGCCCGAGATTTTTAAAGATCAAATCATAGATAAAAAAAGTTATTTAAATAAAGTATTAATGCGATTGTGAAATGCTTTCTGAAACTTTCCTTGTGAGATTTTTTTTTTGGGGGGGGGGGGGGGGTAGGGTGGGACTATTGGGTTGCAATTGATTTTTGATTTGCTCTCATATAGGCCTAAAAACAAATAAATTCAAAATTAATATGCAGGTTTCGAGATTGTAGTCCTTCAACGCTAGAAGCGCGAAAAGTATCCATATTAGCATGGAAGTGGACAGGTTGTCGATATACGAAAACGTGCATAAAATTCATTTAATGCTATGGAAAGATTGTAATGTCAAACAGTGATGTTTTTGATGATTTTATTGATTTCTACCACACGTCTTACAAAATCTACTTTCAATTACCATATTTGAAAACAAAAGAACCGCCATAGTCTTTAGTGGAAAAGTTGTTTCCTTGATTGTATAAACCTTTTCTTAAGAGACAATGGACTCTTTGAAATTATTAAAAGGAAGTGTCGATATGTCACTCGGACGCCAACGTGCAATGCGTGTGTATTTATAAGAAATACTTGTCTCTCCCCTCCTGTGATAAGTCTTATCCACTTATATTTTCTTCTGTTTCGATTTTTTGTTGGAAGGAAAAAATGAAATTCAGTAATTTTCGAGTTGATGTGCATCCAGACAAACAGATATGATAAACCGGCATATCGTTGATGTAACGTGTCCATTATCAAAAAGTTCCCACTTGCTGGTTTCCCCCTCCGTAACGAAAGAGCGCACCAAGCGAAACTTGTGTATTATACCTTTTGCTTGTTTTACTGATATATATATATATATATATATATATATATATATATATATATATATATATATATATATATACAGTAACAGTTTTCTAATCCAGAAACCACTGGTTCCAAAGAAATTGGCCGTATTAGGCAACATTCCAAATTAGACAACATTTAATCAACTGAATTTACTGAGGACGATCCATAGATATATCGACTTCACAGAAAAACATATTGACTCAGCACGAAGTGCGAAGTCGATTTGTTTTTCTGTGAAGTTGATATACCTATTTATTATATACCCAACTATGTCTCAATCAGTTTTACTGTTGAATTCATGAAATCATGCGTCTCGTTTGATCTGATGATCTGCGCCTGTCAACTCGACGTGATACGACACTTCGGATCAAGTTACTGTTAAAATAATATATATGGATTGACCGAATCAAAGGGCTACATTTGTTATATAATTTTTTTTTTTGGAAAAGAAAGAGATACAAATTCATTATGTAGGAATTTGTAAGTTTTAAAGACTTACACCATTATAAACACATCTTTGGATTTGGAGAGAGAGAGAGAGAGAGGGAGATAAAAAAGATGTCATCAATAAAGTATCATTTTGATTTTAAAAAATATGTAAATATGTGCAATTCAATATACATATACATTCTAATTTCAATGAAACAAGTTCGGAACAACGAAATGGTTCAACTCTGGATGTTCAGTTGTATCGGCCAGTAAAACTACTTTAGGAGACAATGTTCGACTGCAGATAGAAATGTCGTTTTCCGAGCCTACGACAATTTACTGGGGAGTTGACCAACGGCTTATTGGAGGTTATTAGAATATCAATATTTCTGACAATGAGTTAAAATACTTCTAAACACGGGATAAAAATAACCCTGAGTATTGTAAATTGAAATTCTAAGTAGTTGTGAAACTGAAATGGTTCCAATCAATTTCCAAAGAAAAACTTGAAAAAACTAAACTCATTTGTTTAAATGAAAAAAAAAAGTTTCCATCTTTAATTCTATCTTTCTAGCCAATGAAAAGGATTTTGGTACAACAATGGAAACGTTATCCAACACTACTCTATTCACTCTGGATGCAAAAAAGCCTGTAAGCTTTGTTATCCTCATGATCCCTAGCAAAGACGATATGGTCACAAACATTCGGTTTGACACTGAAGGAGATGATGGTAAAATTAAATTTGACAATCCAATTACCTGTCAGTCATCATTCTCTAAAATCTCCGATTCTGAATATGACTTCTTCTACCGTTGTAATCCTGAACTTGATCCTAGAAATGGCTGGTATATGCAAGTTGGAATGTTTGCCAGCGTTAGGAATGAGCTGGTTGAATATAATCAAATTGAATCGAAGGAAAATAAGTATGTAAATGTTACCACTGAGCGAAATTCAACGGCAAAAGCAACAGTTGTACTTTCAGATGAAACTTTGGAGAGAGTAGGAGATTTCCTATTTCTGCAGAGCTCTCTTAATATACCTATGGGTAGTGTAATCAGCTCCATATTATACAGAAGCTTTTATGATATAAGCATAACAAAAACAATGAACGAATTCAAATTTTTGGAACCATTCCCACAGCCACCGTTTTTGGAAGGAGATATGGTACCAGTTAATTGCGAAGCACTTGGAAGAAATCCTCCACCCATACAAGTGGAAAGAAATGGTGCTGAGATAAGTTCATCACAAACCGTCTATGTTTTCGAAGATACTACAAAGTTTTGGTCCTCATCTTCCGTTACTTTCCTTCATGCATCAAAGGAAATAGAGGGCAACTATTCTTGTGTTATAGAGAAGGATGGCGAAAAACTTATTTCTCCAATGCACGTTGAAGTAAAACTAAAACCAAGATTGCGCTGGGATCTAACCAAGATACTGAAAAGCAAACAAAATCAGGTGCGTTTGATTTCTATAGAAAATTTATTTTGCTGTTAATTTAAGCTGCATTTTTGATATCTTTGCTTTTGTATTCCATTTACAGTATAGAATTTAATCTATTTTAATGAACTTTATTGTAAATTTCAGACTCGTGTACGTGTTGTTGTGGAAGGAGCAAATGGTGTTACGTTGGACTGCAGTGATAACTCCTGGTCAGGAAAAGAGAATCCTCCTGTTCACAACGAAAAGAGAACAAAAATATCAGAGTGGAATGAACGGTTAGAAGTAAAGTATACATGGAGGAAAATGAACATTATTCCGGATGAATTCAACTATTCGTCGGATTCTCCGTCTCTTTCTTGCATCGCAAAAGACAAAAACGGCGACTTGACATTCGAACACACTTTCTGGCAGTAATGTTTAAAAAAAACAGTCATTTTAAAGCATGAATATTTTGTTTTATTATTGATTGAATTCTTTCATCAGGCATGTTTACTAGAGATTTAATTTTTTCAAGAATAAAACATAAAAATACCTATAATGGAATTGAAACGTCTGATGTAACATTTCATTATGTACATGCAATAAAAAATTTCATAGAGGTTAGTTTCCATGTTTAATTTGAGAGATGTGGATTAAAAATATCATCTAGGATACTTCACTTTTAACGTACTCTAATCTTTTGCATAGATTGTAATAAATAGTCCAAATTTCTTCAGATTCCAAAGTTATTGTGCTGTATATTCTTGCAATAATATAAACTATGCAGGGATATACATGTATGAAGCTTTTTGAACTTCTTTACGGTTAAACTAGCTTGAACTGAACGATTCCAACTTTTCAATCCGTCCCCGTATTGCTGGGGAATATGTAATGGCCGCTTTAAAAAACACATCTATCAAACTAAGAACTGCCTTTCATTTAAGCTCATCTTGTTTAGATACTGTTGGCACCGACTTTGGTACGTACCTGATTTTTAAAAAAAAAATATGCTCCTTACAGTCATATCTAAAAAAGTATGGCAAACTTTTAAGCAAGATTTGCTATAGAACGTGTTGGCTCTTGTAGATATATAAATACTAGGGTTGTCCCCAAATGTTGTAAACAGTTTAAATAATTTAGTTTCTCTTTGTTAATGTAACTTTCTTTCCTTGTCAAAGTAAAAAAAACAACATTTATTTTTATTTGGTCATGAATTTCATGTTTCAGAATAGTAACACGTTTATTCAGAAAATAAGTCAAAAATTACAAAAGCGTAATAGTGTACGTCGGCGCACGAATGCAAAGGCAAAGGTTTCTTATAAGGTCATGTCCATTCTCTTTCAAATTACTGGCCTATGTTCTCAACATGTGTCTCATGGCATCTACCACTATTGATTCAAAGACGCATTAAAATTCACCTCTGTCTATCTAATTGCTTGATCAGATTCAAAGCATAGTCCTATCTAGGTCTCCGTAAGAGGCGAAGAATACGCAGAATTTTAAGTCAACTTTGATCCATAACATTCCTCATCTGATGATTTTAATAATCATTATTATGCATCTTAGACCTTCTTATTTCTTAGGTGAAATTGTCCTAAATCTCATACTATATATATAAACAGTTATACTAACTTTATGATATAACAATCAAAACAAGATTTTATTACATCCCTGTGCGCAAGGGAGACGTTTGATGACGTCATTTGCAGTAAACTCAATTCAGAGTACGCTTTAAAAATTGCTTTGACACTCCTTTTGTCTCCGATGTCATTTACTTGAATATTTCATACATAATGTAAGTTTGTTTTCTGGTTTAATAAATGATGTCAACTTGAATTTGATGATTAACATATTTTATTAGAAAAACAATGGAAACTGAAAGAGAAATATACGTAAATTACCCCGGACCTTACAAACCAAGCAGGCGTTGACACGATAAAGAATGTAACTACTCAATGATCTTGAGTGCAAGCAAAGGTCTACATTTGAATCCCTTCACCGGTATATGGTGACGTTTTTATATGAGTAAAAAAGTCTCTGATGGGACGTAAAACAACATGCAATTGATCAAATTAATATACAAAGAAAAGAAAACAAACGACATCCGTCTGTCTGTCGTGTGTTGTTTGTAAACTGTTCAAATTTTCATCTTCTTCTCTAGAACCACTTGGCCAATTTTAAAAAAAATTGCCACAAAGTTGTTTTGGGTAAAGGGAATTGAAAATTCAAATTTGCTCAAATTAAAAGCCTTACCCTCTTTGAAGGTGGGAAATTAAGATTTTGTGAAAATTTAGTGGGATCTTTAAAAATGTTCTTATTAAGAACCGCTTTTTGGGAAAAGCAGAACCTTAATTAGTGATATTAGAACAAGCACCGGCGTTATGCTTCTTGGCAGTGGGTTAGCAAGACTGAGCAACATTAATATCGACATTGTTATATAAACTGCCAAGGAAAAGATACAATAAAGATTGTTAAAATGGTCCATAGAATTTATGAAATGCTAACGTCAAACAAAATTGTTGAATTCGATTGGGGGATGTACACACCATATACAGGTGATAGCGGAATATCTATATTTATAAATTAATAATTTTTGCAAATAAAGTCGGAAACGTCTGCACCGGAGTTCATACTTATTCCTCTAGGAATACACTAAGTATAAGGTGATGTCCGTAAACTACATTCAGATTCCACTCGCATAGTAATTTAATTAAGAGTCTACTTTCATTTTCAGTAAACAGCCTCGAAATAGCAAAAAAGAGAGTACGGTGGTAGTTACGGTTGGCGGATCTAAGTTAATAACATTTTTTAATGAAACAGACAACAACAACCGTTTAATTATTTCATAAAACGTCATTAATGAATTATTCAATCAAAACTTGATTTAATGTAAAAGGTAAAGATAACGAATAGTGAAGAAACTAAAAAAAAATCCATAAACAATTCAAATTTGTGAAGAGGACATAAAACACGGACCCCTGGAAATTCCAGAGGTGGGATAAGGTACCTAGGAGGAGTAAGCATCCCCTATAGACCGGTCACACCCACCGTGAGCCCTATGTATTGATCAGGTGGACGGAACTATCCGTATTCAATTCAGTACAAAAACGAAGGCCAAACCATTGGTATGAAACAAGTCAGCCAAAACACGACCCAGTGATAGGTTATATTTGCTAACAAGGTCATTATAACGACCATAAAATTTACGAAATGCTTACTTCAAACGAGGCTGTTGAAATCCCAGTAACATCAACTTATCAGTGAGTAGCCTACCTCGCTTTAAAAATTGATCGTACTCAGAGCAAGCTCTTGAGTAGCGAATAAGTTGGGAGACATAAACACCATAAGCGGGTGATAGTGGAGTATTACTACATAAATAAGGAAAGTTGACGATGGAAAAGCTTAAGTCATCTCGTTTGTCATGCAATTTAGTTGTTAATTGGCCTTTATCATCTATAGTCAGTAAAACAACCAAATATGAAACAGATGAGGCAGACTCTGTGGTGTCTTTTACTTCAAGTTCACTGGAATATATCGAGTCGATATTCGAACGAAAATAACTATTTTTAATTCATAAAACATCGTCGATATATCTGAATGTGGAATTGAAGGCCACAACTAGTGTTTTCCTCTTCTCGTGTAGAAGTTTTTGAATAAATTCTGCTTCATAAGAACATTAAAACAGGTCAGCTAATAAAGGATTACAATTGTTACCCATCGGAATTCCAAGAGTTTGTTGGAAAACTTGGTCTCCGAAGACTACATAAATGGAGGAAGTCCAGCATCTTTTTAATATCAACTACAGAGTACTTCTGTGTACAATCAGAGTAGTTTTTAACGACGTAATTTTGCTGATGACCGATCACAAGATGTGAAAATTTCGAGTTCCGTTTTTATTTATGAAGCAGTTGTCTATGATATCAAAAAGTCTAGATTTTAATTTATCGTGAGCAATTGTTGTATAAAGTGTAGAAAAGTTTTTGATGTTATAGACTTTTAAAAAAATTGTGATTTTAAAGTTTCTAAAAGTTCTTTCGAGTTTTTGAGGATTCACATCTGATTTACACCACTTGTAGATAAAGCTGTAGCACAGTACGTCTGAAGTTTCTCCTTTACAGCAGTTAATATTTTTTTTTGTAAGGAGTAAAGATAAGTGATATAAAAGAAATCAGTTCTGATTACTGATTTTAAAAAATGTGCAAATCCTTTCTTTAATGTCCGATCTCGCTCTTGATACCAACGGTATTTTCGATGATTTGAAAGTTCTAGAACGTCTGATGGCATCGAACCCGATGTTAAAAAGAAAATCGAGGCGATTATCATGAAAGGGCATTATGATATCATTTATGATAAACCAATTGATAACACTATGAGTTATGAATATATCTATATGTTGAAAGTAAGTTGTGGTAATAAATTTACAAATAAAATGTGCATGTTTGAAATTGAAAGCTTCATGGCAACGAACTCGAAGTAAATTTTTTTTTATAATTAGTAATTAACTTGCTATGATAAAATTTCAATTAATCACTATAGTTATTTGTTTAAATATATATAGTAAATGTGGTGCATTTTAATTTTTCACTTTTACTAAAGCTTTTAAAAATGTGTGCTTTGATCAATACATTTCAATGCTTTTTCTACGTAGAGTCTTTTGTATTAAGTACCTATATACCTATCAGGCCTGAATAGATATCGGGTAAATTAAGCTAATTTTTATTTTAAAAAATTCTGACAAATTAAGTTAATTGTGCACATTTGCTTCTTTTATCCTTGATGTTAATTGAAACAGATCATCCGAAGTATAATAGGAAATAAAATAGTATAATAGATATCAACAAAGTTTCTAAACTGTAAAGAGAAAATGTCATTAATTAGCACCCGTAGTACATTATGTATAACATAGTACAACAGATGTCAAAAAAAAGTTGCTTTTATAACAAGTAAAGAGAAAACGCCAATTAATGAAATTTATATTTTTTAAGATAAAGAAAAGAAATAAGGGGATGTATATCTTATTATCTACTTCTGGTCCTTAACTAACTGCGGAATTTGGAAGTATTTCTTCGTGCTATAAGCCTGTAATTAACTCTCAGTAGAAAATGAAAGATACTTTTTTGGAATAGTTCTGTTAGCAGTGAAAAAAAAATTCCCCCGCGCTTGCGCCGGATTTCATCTAGTTAACACATAAACAAGGAAAGATGACGATGAAAAAGCTGACGTCGTCTCATTTGTCATACAATTTAGTTGTTAACTGGCCCTTATCGGCTATAGTCAGTAAAAACATCTTAATATGAAACAGATGTGACAGAATCTGTGGTGTCTTTTATTTTAAGTACCCGGGAATATGTCTATGATATTAAAAAGCCTATTTTTTTAAATCTATCAATAGTTCAAGGGTAGAAAAGTCGTACGTTTAGGTACTATTGACTTCAGAAAAATTGAGTAATTTTAAATTTTCAAAAGATATTTCAGAGTTTTTATGAATCTACATCTGTTTTACACCACTTCTAGAATATGTTGTGGCACAGTGCGCCTGAAGTTTCTCCTTGTGCAGTTAATATTTGAATAAGGGGATATGGGGCTGGTAGAGCATTTGCTTGGCCCTGTAAAACATTTTTGTTTGTAAGAAATTTTATGAAGTTTAAGAATCCAGTTTTGGTAGGGTAGATCGAAGTGTGATTTTGTAGAATTTCATCCTCAGATAGTGAACTATGAGTATAAGTTTGATCCAGATGTAGAATAAAACTTATTTCTTCTCATGTACAGTTATAATAGTGAGTGTTACAAACAAAGACGATATTGATACAAGCTTTGTCTGCTGGAACCAAAAAATATTATTCAATTGTTCATGTAGTCTTTGCAATTTTTATTACTTCCGATTTAGTGAAAACACAATTTTAGAATATGTATGTGATCAAACCTGATACAGAAAATTGCGAAAAATGTATATAAAAAAAAAACAAAAACAAAAACAAAAAACCTTTAATGATGAAGTAATGGAAGAAATTTCATTTTGAATATATTCATTTACCTTTCATTCAAAAACTATATAAAAAGGAATAAAGCCTTACTTCAATGTCCTCATTTGAGGAGTCAAGGGATCCCAAGGTTGGTGTAAGGCATCCTAGGCCATTGACATTAGTCCTCACTTGAATAAGCAAGGGCTACCTGAATTGGACTTGCTTTATTCTAAATTATATAGCATTATAACAGAATGTTTAACTTTTTATCAAATTACTTAGCCGTCACGATAGCTAAGTCGGTAGAACACTCGCTCCGTGATCGGAAGGTCCTGTGTTCGAATTCCGGCTGCGACTGACCTAAGTCGATAAAAAATAGGTAGCAACTGTTCCTTCGCCAAGCGCTCGGCACTTTGAAGTGAAAGTTGCGGGTCCTTCGGATGAGATCTTAAAAACCGAGGCCCCGTGCCACGGTAGGCGTTGGCATGATAAAGAACCCTCACTGTTCAATGGCTCTGAGTGCCGAATAAAGGTCTAAATTTGAAGTCCTTCACCGAAGCGTATGTTGCACTGCAAAACATGCGGAGGTCAGCAAAGATCAGCATAAATACCAAAATTAGGATTTTCAAGAGTAATGTGGTAGGGGTCCTCCTGTATTGTGCTGAATCGTGGAAAGTAACAAAAGCCATCTCAAACAAGCTAGACGCCTTCCAGCCCGATCCGTTGTCTTCGCAGAATTTTATTCTTTCTCTGGCCAATACCATCCCAAATGAATAGCTATACAAACGGGCTAACACCACTCCTCTATCCCAAGTTATAAAGAGAAGAAAATGGCTGTGAGTAGGACACATATGTAGAATGCACCCAATCTCCATCCCAAGGGTTGCATTGAGATGCGCACCAACCGGTAAGAGAAAGAGAGGGAGACCAAAAGAGACCTGGAGAAGATCGGTGGAGAAAGAAATAAAAAAGAACAAATGGACATGGGGACATGTTCAGAGATGAACACAAGATAGACTAACATGTAAGTCTTTGGTGACGGCCTTATGTGCTAACCAGCACGAAGAGGACTAAGTAAGTAAGTAAGTAAGTCACCGGTATATGGTGACGTCTCTATAGGAGTGAAAAATTCTCGATCGGGACGAAAAACACCATACAATCAATCTATCAATCAAATTACTTAACCCTATCCGTGAAATTAATGCCTACTTATTAAGTAATACTTGATACAGTTCAGTCTGCTAACTTAAGTAATTATAAAAAAAATCATTTGTACCTGAAAATCAGAGTGTTCCGAGGAACGCATGCGTCGCCTGCTTTGAAACTTCATTATAAGATGTAACTTAATCTAAGAGCGGTCCACTTTTTACTTACTATTAGCATGATAGTTCATGCATTTGCCTGCAAAGAAAAAATGGTATCCATGGATGGTATAAGACTGCGATAGAATCTGACAATAAAAGAAAATATGGTTCCTTAATACTCAAATGAATAATTAAATTGAAATTGAAATTATTAGAAATAATTAATTATCATTTTATTAATACGTGTTTCAAACAATCCTCCAAAAGAAATTTCAGTCTGACTTTACTGCAATTGTCAGTTACACGATCCATTGTGGAATACCGATCTCGATGTATTTTCATAGTATTTAAATAAAGGTTTGTGTGGTAGCTGAATATCATACAGTTTCAATTTAAAGTATCAAGAGCTCATAAACATGTATAAATGCTAAGCCTCTCAAAATCCAAGTCAGAAATTAAATTAAACTGCCAGGGGTTATTTTTGAAAAGTAGGTCAAAGATGAAGGTCAAGTGGATTGTTATGCTGGTATTTTTCATAATGTCTAATGACAAACAATGCACACGCTAAATAGCATAGACTTCACTCTTAAATGTCAAAAATATGCTGTATATCGGCACTATGAACTATTTTGAAATGTAGGTCAAAGGTCAAGGTCGAGGGTCACAAGATCGGTAACCATGGTAATTTATAAAGCCATAGAGCCAAACAATATATGTGCAAAATATCAAATCCATAACTCTTACAGTTCTCGAGATATAGGGGGTGTGACAGACGGACAGACAGATGGACGGACATCCAGACATCCAGACGCTGGGTAAAGTGATCCATAAGTGCCGCTCTGCTCTGCAGGCGACACAAAAAGTTAGTAGATGGCAATAAAAATATTAAAGACCCTTGTTGAAGAGACAATATTTAAAAGTTAAGTCCATATCTAGACCCTCTCACTAGTATTAGCGCCAACTCACCATTAACCAGTTGATAATCTATCCGCATTGACAAATATGCAATGATTTGTATTCAATGATATTAATCATACATATTGTCTGAAAAAAATAATAAATATCTCCTTTTTAACATACATGCTATACATATATATTTCACAAGCTGCCTTTTTATATATATAAAAAAATAATTTTGAAATTTTTAACAAATTTCAACCAATTTTGGTATAGAGCATCTATGGGCAAAGGAGGGGGGGGCAACATTATAAATTTGAAGATACTTGTGCCCCTTTGAGAGTGAGGGGACATCAAGGAGTCAAACTGTTAGCATGATTATAATAATCAAAAAGTAACTAAAATAGTGAAAGGTCAGGAGTTAATATAAGTAGTTAAAGTGGGTCTTTATTGATCAGATTGGGAAAATGCATACATTCTTTGAAAGGCTTTTTTCTCACCCTGTATATACATAGTAGATAACAAGCCTAGGATTATGGTGAGCAACGGTGCTTCTTCGATATTTGTGAAATGGATGGCTCCTAAGTTAGGAGTTTTGGTGTTGGGGGGGGGGGGGGGGGGCTCCATTGATTATGTACATATGTAGTGAAAATGCATTTTCGTCATTGAAATTATTCTTTGCTCCTGGTTATTAAACATACATACTAAATGCATGAGTGTGATTAGGCAAGTACTCCTCATCCAAAATTGTGAATTTCAGGGTCCCCGCGTCGAAGTTTCTGGGGTTTGGTCAGGGGCTTTTGATCGCACATGCTTAAATTCTTTGAAAATCTTCTCTTTCTCTGGAAATTAACGTAAGTGCATGGTTAAGATAGCTTTTCCTGAAATTGTAGGGAGGGGCTCTTGATTAGATAGTGAAAAATGTATTAATATTTTTAAAATCTTCTGATCATGCTCCTTAGAATCTAGGAGGTAAATAGAACACAAAGTTGTAATAAGCAATGATATTTTTACCATATTTGTAAAATTTTGAATTACTGGATCAAGCTTTCTGGTGCTGGACAGGGCTCTCTTAATCTGACAGGGACATTTTTACTCTATGAACTAAATTTTAAGGATTTAATTTAACATTCCTCCAACCTACGTGTCTGACTGCCCAGAATGAGTCATTGAATTTCAACATCCCACACTGAATTTTTGGATTTCAACATCCCACACTGAATCATTGGAATTCGGCATATTTATGCTTTTCAAAGGTCATTGAGGCTAGTATATCGTCTCATTTATCATTACAAATATGAAACAATTTTAATCATACATAAACTCTAAGCTAAATAAGATTGTAAAATGCCATCGGTATAATTGCTGAACGATCGCTGTAATAGTAAGTATTGTTATGTATATCTACACCTACATATATACATAGAAGTTTCCATTTGTAAGCTTCGTTATTCAGGGGTATTTTTCGTGTTTTTTAAAAAACATAAGGAGAATGAGAAGAGTTATATTTCTATTTCTACTTCAGTCCAGTTTTCATTTCTCCATTTCTAACGTCTATTCTGAGGTTGGTGCAATTTTTTATACTATTATTTGATGTACAAATTAATATACCTTTTTATGATGCCGATCCATAGGTATATTAACTACAAAGAGAAGCATATCTTCGGGGACATAGTGCAATCTCGATATACTTTTCTGTGAGGACTATACATCTTTTAACTAACCGAATTAAAATGGATACATTTGTCATTTTATTTTTAAAAGCAAGATTTGAAAATAATGAAAGAACACTTATTGCATTTTCCCTTTTACTTTTTACATATAAATTAAAGATCAAAATTCAGTAAGCAATTTTTAATTTCATCTGAATAAAATTTTGATTTCAAAATGTTTGCAAATAATTTATGGATTGTACCTAAATATAGACTTTATCTTTCTTTTAATTGTAATGTGTACGTAGTTTAGAGCCGTACAAGCAATCACAAAAAAGTTTCGAAATGACAGGTCTTAAGGGATCACCATGCTGTGTTCTTATATGACGAAACAGGTTCTGGAAAACATTTCCATTCATTAAAACTTTTGTAGGAGTGTTTCTTATTTAGTAAAATTCGTATAAACAGGAAAAATTCATATTTTTTCAAATGAATTATATACTCTTTACAAAATGTGCTTAGGGACCGTAACACCGACATGTTTCTTCATTCATGTATTTTCTCTTGTAAATGTCTACTATAAATGATTTTCCTGATATTCAGAGAAACGGCAATCTAATTAAAATTAGATGTTCCGAATCCGCTATCGTTTCTGAGAAGCGATAGCGGATTCGGAACATCTAATTTTAATTAGATTGGAGAAACGGGTGGTGGGGATAAGCCGAGTCATATGCCTACATTACGACGAATAAAATCGAATAGGGAAGTGCACTTTTTTTCTTACAAAGCAAATTATTAAAATACAACAATGTTCTCTCTGTTTAGAGTGCAATATGTGATAAGTAATACTATACTCTTACATCATATGTAAGAGGCACAAAATTCTGCTGTCTGGTTTTTCAACGGGGTTATCTCCAAAATGTAATTTTTTATGAAATGTTGCAAAGTAATATTTTAGATACAAAGAATCCACACATAGAATAACCAAAAAATGTTTTCTTTAAAGAATATTTTGTACCTGTTACATCTTAATTTTATTTATTTTGATAAAGGATATCAAAATATTTCTTTTTAAAAAAGTAAAAATATGCTGTATTTTCCTATACTGTGCAAATATTGCAAGATGAAAACCCCATTCAACAAACTTAATTATAATGAAATTATCATGTCAATGTGATAAAATTGTTATTTAGCAGAAATGTATCAATGTAATGAACTGTTCTGAGTAGTATATCCACGTGTCTTTTCTTTTTCAACGAAACAAGTCTGAAGCCGAGAAATGGTTCAATTCTGGATCTTCTATTATTTCCGCCAATAAGACTACTTCAGGTGATGATGTTCGACTGCAGATAGAAATGTCTATCCTAATAAATACGATCGCTGTTTGGGGAGTGGATCAAATGATCATTGGAGGTAATTATAATTTGGTAATGTCTGCAATATTTATGGAAAACTTCAGTAAAAGAATTATGTTGCAAACCACAAGGAACAAAACAAACGGTTTGTTATGGTCTGGTGTTTTTTATTTAAATTTAAAATTGATTTAGTTATAAATAACATAAAATATATTAACATAATACCAGGTGCTTGCATGTTTGCTGTCAACGTATTTCACTGTAATTATTGTGTCAAAATAAAAGCTTGGGGCTATTTCTAAATATTATCATCATTTTAGGATAAAATTAAATAATAAATACCTACTTAAGATGAAATATATGGAGATAACAAACAGTATTCAAGCTCAAACGTCCATTATACAATACAAAATAGGAGCAGAGCAAACACGGACCTCCAAACATCAGAGGTGGGATCAGGTGCCATGGAGGAGTGAGCATCCCCTGCCGACCGGTCACACCCGCCGTGTGCTCCTTGTCATGATCGGGAAATAACGGAAAAATCCGTCGACAATTCACTGTGTAAATAATGGCCCAACAATTAGTATGAAAAACGTCAGTCAGCATTTGACTCAATGATAAATTGTATTTGCTGACAAGGTCATTGTATCGACCATAGAACTTACGAAATGATGACTTTAAACGAGACAGCTGATATTCTTGTTTCATCAACTTATTTGTCAATAATTTACCTCGTTTTAGAAATTGTACATACGTAGAGCATGCTCTTGCGTATCGAATCAACTGAGAGATATATACCCCGTATGCAGGTGATGAAGGTATATTGCTGCATAAGTAAGGGAAGTTGACGATTGAAAAGTTAAAGTCATCACGTTTATCATAAAGCTTGGTTGTTAGATTACCATTAACGTCTTTTTCAAGTAAAATATCCAAATATGAAACAGATGTGTCAGACTCTGTGGTATCTTTTATCTCAAGTTCACCAGGATATATCGTATCGACATAAGAATGAAAATAGCCATTGTTAATTGACAATACGTCGTCGATATATCTAAATGTCGAGTTGAAGGCCACAGCAAGTGTTTTCTTCTTTTCACGTACAAGATTTTGGACAAATTCTGCTTCATATGAATACAAAAAAAGGTCTGCTAACAACGGGGCGCAATTGGTACCCATAGGAATTCCAATAGATTGTTGGAAGACCTGGTCTCCAAAAACCACATAGATATTGTAAATCAGAAACTCAAGCATCTTTTTAATGTCAACTTCAGAGTACTTGTGTGTACAATCAGAATGTTTTTTAACAAAATAATTTTGCAAATGACCAATGACAAGGTAAGTATATTTACGAGTTCCATTTTTATTGAAAAAGCAGCTGTCAATGATATCAAAAAGCCTGGACTTTAATTTATCGTGGGGAATGGTTGTGTATAAAGTTGAAAAGTCGTAAGTTTTTAAGCTGTTGATTTTGGTAAAATCTTGTGATTTCAAATTTTCCAAAAGTTCCTTGGAATTTTTAAGTATCCACATCTAATTTACACCACTTCTCGAATATATTGTTGCACAGTATTCTTGAAGTTTCTCCTTCACCACTGTTAATATCTTAGTGAGGAGTAAAGATAGAGGCTTGGTTGAACATTTACTGGAACCCGCTATGTATCTTTGTTTGTAAGGATTTTTATGAAGTTTCGGAATCCAATATAAATATGGTAATTCGAATTCATTTTGGTTGTTTGGAATATTAAAAATATTCAAAACTGACATATGATTTTGAAGAATTTCTTCCTTAGAAAGGGAACTATGAGTATAAGTTGGATTACCACTTGTAGAATTAAATCCAAGTTCCTCTAAAATACATTTAATATAATGAGCCTAATATTTCATATTTAGATTAGATTTCATATTATGGTAATAGTAGATATAAAATTTGGAAACAAAGATGAATGAATTTTATATAAAATAATGTTCCATGAGGTTTGAGCTTATTGGTTTTATTTAATTTTTTACCAGAGAAAGTTGAAAAGGTTTGAATTACATGTTTAAATAGGGGAAAACCTGGAACTATTCCCATTTTATTGGTTTTTCTCATTCTAGCTGATGAAAAGACTTTTGGCACCTCATTGACAACGCTGTCTCATACTACTTTGTTCACTCTGGAAATCAAAAATCCCCCAGAAGTTGTTTTCTTTATAACTTTTAGCGACGACGAAATAGTTACAACCCATATGTTTGACACAACGCATGTAAATGGAGCAACTAAATTTGATAATCCAATCACTTGTCAGTCATCATTCTCTAAAATCTCTGCTTCTGAATATGACTTCTTCTACCGTTGTAATCCTGAACTTGATCCTAGAAATGGCTGGTATATGGAGGTTGGAATGTTTGCCAGCGTTAAAAATGAGATTATTGAATATAATCAAATTGAACCGATTGAAAATAAGTATGTCAATGTTACCACTGAGCGAAATTCAACGGCAAAAGCAACAGTTGTACTTTCAGATGAAACTTTAGAGAGAGTAGGAGATTTCCTATTTCTGCAAAGCTCACTTACTATACCTCTGGATGGTTTAATCAAATCCATATTATATAGAAGAGTTTATGATATAAGTATAACAAAAACAATAAAGGAATTCAAATTCTTGGAAGCATTCCAACAGGAACCACTTTTGGAAGGAGATATGGTGCCAATAAATTGTGAAGCAATTGGAAGAAACCCTCCACCTATTCAGGTGGAAAGAAATCGTATAGGGATAAATTTGTCAGAGACGATATATATTATGAAAGATAATACAAATATATGGTCAATTTCTTACGTTGCTTTCCTTCATGCATCAAAGGAAATAGAGGGCAACTATTCATGTGTTGCCGAAATGGATGGCAAAAAATTTATTTCTCCTCAGAACATTGAAGTAAAATTAAAACCAAGATTACGCTGGGATCTGGCCAAGACTTTGAAATCCAAGCAAAACCAAGTGCGTTATATTTACATTATGCTTTCTCTTATTTAAGTGTGGTTTTTTCACATCTTTATTCTTGTAATTTGTATATACAATTTAAAATGAAATTCATGTTAGTTTCCTTTTTTCTTTAAATTTCAGACTCGTGTACGTGTTGTGGTGGAAGGAGCAAAAGGTGTTGTATTGAAATGTAGCAATAACGCATGGTCAGGTAATAGGTATCTCCCTATAAGCACAGAGAAAAGAACAAAAATATCAGAGTGGGATGAACGTTTGGAAACCGAGTATACGTGGAAAAAGAACATTGACCCAGATGAATTCAACTTTTCGATGTATTATCCGTTTCTTTCGTGTATCGCGGAAGACAAAAATGGCAAACTGACATTTGAACACACTTTCTGGCAATGAGGTTTACACAACATACATGTATTTGCATTATCAATTCTGAATAATTGAGATTACTTGCAATTATAGTTGATTCGTCAAGAATTAGTATGCTGAGGAAGGAATAAAATTTACAAACTAAATCATTTAAAAACGTTTCTTCTATGTAGTAGAAAATGTGAAGAAATTCTCCTCGGGATGTCAAAACCTCTGTTAATTTTTAAGTCATGTTTCGTGAGTTTCAGATTTAAAAATGAAATCGATTATTCATTCCTACATCAATTCAAAGATCAATAACAGCTTTAGAGCTGTTATTACAAAAAATCAAATCAACTTTCTACTCTCAAAATCTGGCATGTATGATAAACTGAAGGCAAATGCTAATTTTTTTATTCTAAGAAACGGATATACAGTAAACAGCAATAGTAACTCATACAGTGATTTAAATATTCCTTCTAGTAAAGATTATTAATGTCGATTCTTGAGCTGTTCTACAGAAACTCGAATTTACATGTAACCCTCAAAATCTATAATTAGCTACATGTATCGACAGAACTGATAATACAATATTGAATAGGTTTTTTATTCTTAGAAACAGATATAAAGTACACAACAAAAGTATTTCATAGAGTGATTTAAACTTTCTTTCTTGTAAAGGGTTTTATAAATAATACATTTCTGAAAAATTAGATAACACAAATTACTTGGAAAAGAAAAAAAATTTGATATAAATCTATTGACCAACAAGCCATCGGTCAGATCAGTGCCTGTTATGAAGCACTGATGAAGGAGGTATTACCTGTTACATTGGATGAGGTATGGCGAACTTCATATGTATCTTTAACTTTAGAAATATTTAAAACATGTTTATTGCTATCTCACAGTATGGAATAATAGCATAAGGGGCGATTTGGTTTCTATGACTTTATTGCAGGCTTTCAGGTTAATGTACATAAACATCAAAATTTGAATATAACCTTTAAAAGGCTTTGTTTTTATATCTTTTATGAACTAATTCCGGGCGACATATTTCACCTATATGTTGTCCGCAAATGTTCTCTCGGATGATTTGCACAATCTAAAAATCACCAAGTAAAGTTGTTAGCATTTAAATTTTCAAACGGCCTTCGTAACCAAGAAAAAGAAAAAAATAGGAAAAATATTTTTCTCATCTAACTTGCCAGTCGCCCGCGTGGCGCAGTGGTTAGAGCGTCTGCTCTACAGTCGCGAAGTAAGGAATTGATCCTTACGTCCCGGGTTCGAATCCCACTGTGGGACGTGGAGACCCGTCCTTCGGATGAGACCGTATAAACCGAGGCCCCGTGTCGCAGTAGGTGCTGGCACGAAAAAGACCCCTCACTGCTCAATGGCCGTAAGTGCCAAGTATAGGACAAAATTTGCAGCTCTCCACCGGCAAGTGGTGGCGTCTCCATATGAGTGAAAAATTCTCGAGAGGGACGTTAAACAACATACAATCAATCAATCAATCTAACTTGCCAATCATTTTAGATCATTTAGAGTTTATTTCTTGAACCAAATCTGATTTTGCAAAACAATTAGAATCGGTAAGACAAACTTTTTCTCTGTTGCCATAGATACTAAAAAGAGTGATTTTATATTTTTTTTTCTTAAAAGGTATTAAATATTTCATACGGATGTTTGATGTGAACTTACAAAGTTTGTAGACCACTCATTTCTCCGTATGATTACATGCAACTTATGACACAAAAATCAAATTTCTATGTGTATAAAAAAATAAACGCTGTGTCTAATAATTCATGACATCAAAACAATCTTAAAAGTGTACATAGGTACATCTACCCAAAAGCTTTCGAGCCATAGTACATATACCAAAAAGAAAAGGTGATGTACATTGACCCAGGTACACCAAAAGTTATCTTAGTCTTGCTCTTCATCCATTCAATCCATGGATATAATTATGTTCGCACAATAACCACTCTATATATGATGAAATGGAAATAAGAAGATAACGAATAGTAATCAAGCTCATAAGTCCATTGGAACAATATAAACTGGGAGCAGAGCAAACACGGATATCTAAAAACATCATGAGTGGGATCAGTGCCATGGAGGAGACTACCCGCCGTGGGTCACACCTGCCGTGCGCTGATTTAGTGTGAAAATTATGTTTTAAAAAGTTGATGTACATTGACCCAGGTACACCAAAAGTTATCTCAGTCTTGCTCTTCATCCATTCAATCCATGGATATAATTATGTTCGCACAATAACCACTCTATATATGATGAAATGGAAATAAGAAGATAACGAATAGTAATCAAGCTCATAAGTCCATTGGAACAATATAAACTGGGAGCAGAGCAAACACGGATATCTAAAAACATCATGAGTGGGATCAGTGCCATGGAGGAGACTACCCGCCGTGGGTCACACCTGCCGTGCGCTGATTTAGTGTGAAAATTATGTTTTAAAAAGTTGATGTACATTGACCCAGGTACACCAAAAGTTATCTCAGTCTTGCTCTTCATCCATTCAATCCATGGATATAATTATGTTCGCACAATAACCACTCTATATATGATGAAATGGAAATAAGAAGATAACGAATAGTAATCAAGCTCATAAGTCCATTGGAACAATATAAACTGGGAGCAGAGCAAACACGGATATCTAAAAACATCATGAGTGGGATCAGTGCCATGGAGGAGACTACCCGCCGTGGGTCACACCTGCCGTGCGCTGATTTAGTGTGAAAATTATGTTTTAAAAAGTTGTATGAAAGGCTTCATACAACATTTGACTTAACGATATATTGCACTTGCTAACAAGTCTTTGATTTCAAAATGTTGACTTTTAACGACGTGTTGATATCCTTGTATCATAAACTTATTTTTCAAAAGCTTGCCTCATTTTTGAAATTGATACAAACATAACTTTGCGTATTGAATCAACTGTGTGACATAAACTCCATATGCAGGTGATAATGGTATATTTGCTACATAAATAAGGGAAGTTGACGATAGAAAAGTTGAGTCATCACCCTAATCAAAACTTTTAGTTGTTAGTTTGCCATTAATATCATTTTCTAGTACATGTAAAATATTCAAATATGAAACAGATATGTCAGCATATCTGGTGTTTTTTTGTGTTGCCTACAGAGCAGAGCGACACTCAGGGATCACTTTACCAAACATCTGTTGGTCTGTCTGTTTGTAACACCTAATATCTCGAAAACTGTAAGAGGTATGGATTTGTTATTTTGCACAATATTGCTTGGCACTATGGCTTTTGTCAGTAACCATGGTTACCGACCTCGTGACCATTGACCTTTTACCTACTTTCAAAATAGTTCAAAATGCTGATATACAGCATATTTTTGACATTTAAGAGTTAATTTTATGCTATTTAGCATTTGTACTGTTTGTCATAAAACATTATAAAAATACCAGCATTACAATCCACTTGACCTTGACCTTTGACCTACTTTGCAAAAAATACCCCGGGGCAGTATACACTTATTTCATGACTACGAGGGGAACAGTCAAACTGTTGTCCCTCGATAATGGGGAAGACCTGGGAAACTGTTGCCCTCGGCCTTCGGTCTCGGGCAACAGTTTCCCAGGTCTTCCCCATTACCTCGGGACAACAGTTTGACTGTTCCCCTCGTAGTCATGAAATAAGTGTTTTATTACCTAACTTACTATATAATTTCTTGAAGTAATGATATAGACACATCAATAAAAGTTTGTATTATTTCTTAGTATTACATTTATCATGCACTAATACATGTAGTTTAGTAACCAACATAATGATGACTTGAAGGTTTGAATATAACACGCTGAGTCAGACGTTTAAGCCTAAGATCTGTAGTGAGTGTAAGGGGCCTACGTTTTTCCCAAATTACCCTCAGAAAAGGTGTTCTTGGCCTCTTCTTTGAAATTACATTAAATTGAATATATATTTATATGGGTATCAGGATTACTCTTCAAATGATAATCTCAAATTTATTGCCATGAAAATGCTTCAGTTTATACATTATTCAATATTATAGCTGTAAAGTACGAGAAATTAAATATGACGTCATAATGGATCACTTCAGCCATGCAACAATTCATTCTGTGACCGGGTAAACAGGTTTGACTGTTTCATGATGTGAAAAAAAAACATTAAAATGAATCAGGAAACAGTTAAAAATGCCTAATTACAATTTATATAGTAGGATAGGTAATAATTTAATTTAACTAATGACTTCTGAATTTTGAGAGACAGGGTTTTGATAATTAGCATTTATACATGTTTATGAGCTCATGATACTCTACTTTTAAACTGTATGATATACATTTACCACACAAACTTTTATTTATATACTATGATCGAATCTCGGCCGCTACTGACCTAAGTCGATAAAAAATGGGTAGCAATTGTTCCTTTGCCAGGTGCTCTGCACTTTGAAGTGAAAGCTGCGGGTCCTTCGGATGAGACCTTAAAAACCGAGGCCCCGTGTCACGGCAGACGTTGGCACGATAAAGATCCCTCACTGCTTAATGGCCCTGAATGCCGAGTAAAGGTCCAAATTTGAAGCTCTTCACCGGTATGTGGTGACGTCTCTATATGAGTGAAAATTCTCGAATGGGACGTAAAACAACATACAATCAATCAATCAATCAAAGTAATTGTTGAGCCATTGTTTTTATACTATTTAAAAGTACAGATTACTCCACGTACCTGATCTACACAGGGGACCCACAGCGTGTCTGACTGGTCGACAGGGGAATGCTTACTTATTCCTAGCCCCTGATCCCACCTCTGATGTTTCAAGGAGTCCAAGCTTTTGCCCTGTTCTTTTTTAAGTATTATTTTCTTTCTTTTTAAAATATTTTTTATTCTTGTTCTTGATTTTCTATTATTTATGAGATTGATGATTTCTTTTTCATTATATCATTAGTATAAAGTGTGTTTTTTCTAAACTTCCAAATTATGAAAATAGATAACTAAATAATTATTGGTCTTAATTTCATGGTAAACGCTTATTCAGTTGGAAGTGATCAAAACACTTTTGAACAGTATATTCAAGATATAAAAATAGTTAATATAATTTCTCTAAATAATTTCAGGTATTTTGAAAAATGAATTCATCAAATTAGTGGAATGTGTTAACTGTAGAAAAAGAAATGAGAAAGAGAATGCTGCACAATTTCATTGTCCTCTTTGCAATGAAAACTTTTGCTTACATTGCAAGTTTGCACTTCATACTTCAGCAGATACTCTCGGTCATAAATCAGTAAAGATTTAGACAGTAATCAGTGATTATGACACAAATAAAAAGCCCCGTTCTCCGAACTTAACAGAAAGAATAAGAACTCTGAGTCTTAATCAATCAGGAGGATATAACAGCAAATTAGACGATCATTTCCTCAAAACCAAAGAAGACGAAAAGCGAAGCAATGTGGTTATGCCCGAAAACAGTGTTTTTGATTCTTTTTCAAAAGCTCAAGTTCCCAAATAAGAAGAAAATGATCATAATTTGCAAGACATTTCTATGAACATTCCATCAGCTCTAAAAGCTGAATTAAAACTTTCTAACGATAATACACAGAAGGTATTGCCATCACCGATAAAATTTAGAACTCTACTAGTTCACAACCCAATAGCTTTTGATTCACTCAATGATGAACTTGATCCGTATATGGTTGACACCCTTCGTTCCCTTCAAAGTAATGAAGATGAAAAAGGAAGCGATGAGGCATTGTTGGAAAATAGTGTTTTTGATTCTTATTCAAAAGTTCAAGTTCCCATAAATGAAATGGATGATCAAAACTTGCAAGAAAAGTTTAGAAACATTCCATCACCTCTAAACGAACAATCGAAACTTTTTAATGATGTTTTACAGAAGAAAATGGAATCACCAAAAAAAGTTGAACCCCAACCAGTTCATAATTTAATAGCTTTTGATTCATTTAATGATGATTTTGAACAGCATAAGATTGATACCCTTCCTTCCTTCAAAAGAAATGAGGATGAAAAGGGAAGCAATGAAGCAGTGTCCGAAAATCGTTTTCTTGATTCTTATTCAAAAGAATATGAAGTGGATGAACATAATTTGCATATAAATTTAAGGAATATTCCATCAGCTCTCAATGCCAAATTCAAACTTCCTCGTGATGTTACACAGAAGAAATTGGAATCAACGACAAAAATACAACCTACACAAGCCCACAATACCAAAGCTTTTGATTCACTGAAAGATGAATTTGAACCGTATACAGATGACATCCTTCGTCCCAGACCGCACTTTACAGCTATAAGAAGGCGAAAATCTTTCATACCCAAACTGCTGAAGAAGAATATATTGTTCTGACGACTATAAAGGATTGTAATCATATTAGTTATATACCACCGGCATATTTGTGGATATCTGATGCAAATGGAAATCTTGTTAGAAGAAATTTACAAGGAAACGAAAAGATGTTAATTTTACCACAAGTAACCAACTCACCACAGTACGGGTTTCATTCTTCTACTGCAGGAGGAGACATTCTGTACATCAACTTCGGAAAAGATGAGAGCATCATCCAAAAAGTCCATTCAAGTGACAACACCACCATATCTGATGTTGCTAAGATAAAGGAATGGGAACCAATTTGTATTTATTCATCGAAACTTAACGGTGACATTTTTGTTGGGGTGAAAAAAATTGAACGCGCAAAAATTATACGCTTTAGTCATGATGGAGCTGTACTTTCAGAAATAGAGAGAGATAAAAATGGAGAACCAATTTTTCATGACCCACGATACATTACAGGTGATGCCGATGGAAGTATTTGGGTGACAGACTGGAACACAAAAAGAATAGGTTATGGAAAGATAATTATCTTAGATGAGAATGGTGAATATTGCTTATCTTATCCTCAGCAGAAAAACGAATGTTTCTACCCAGCTGGTATATCTTGCGTTGAGGAAGGTCCAGCTTTAGTCCTTGAAGGTGAAACTGGAAAAGTAATGGTGTTGGAGAAACCTTCAGATGCGACAACTCGATATCGTTCCCTTCAGGAAAACCCAGACCCTAAGTGCATGCGGCTTATGCGTTGGGAACACTCACTTGTATGTTAGTGATGGTGGACCATATATTGCTGTTTATCGATTTACAAAATTGGTATAAGATCTGAAGTACCTGAAAATCATCTTTTATTACATTTTCAGCAGCGAAAAACTGTAATTTATCATTGAATAAAAGCGATCTGTTTGAAAGCCATATTTTTCACTGAAAAATATCAAAAGTGATATTTTTCAATGTGAAAATATCTTATCAACATTGAAACTCTCAATTTTTCTTGCCTTAAGAAAGAGTGCTATGATGAAATACGGAGATAGCTAACAGTGTTCAAGCTCAAAAGTCCATTGAAACAATACAAATCGGGAGCAGAGCAAATATGGACCTCTTAACAAAGAGTAGCTATAATGAAATACGGAGATAGCTAACAGTATTCAAGCTCAAAAATCCATTGAAACAATACAAATCGGGAGTAGAGCAAATATGGATCTCTAAAAAGCATTAGAGTCGGGTTCAGGTGCCATGGAGGAGTAAGCACCCCATGTCGACCGGTCACAACCGCAATGTGCTATTTCTCGTGATCGGGAAAAACGGGAAAATCAGACAATTATGTGTTTAAATAATGGCCTCACAATTAGATCGAAAAACGTCAGTCAGCATTCGACTAAATGATAGATTGTATTTGCTGGAAATATCTGCAAGTTTCGCTACCTTTTTAAGCGCTAAGCGCAGCGCAAAGCGCTTACTGTCATCTTAAATCTACTTCCGTTCGCGATCCAGCGCCACTAAGCAAGTTAGATAACTCCACTGGGTTTTCTAAAAATATGCCACTGGAAATCCCCGACTCTCTTTCGGCTATTTTAGTGTAATACTGAATTACGTGAAGTTCTAATAATAGGAGTCAATTAGTTAGGTAAAGATATGCATGTACATTGTACGAAAATCCACTGTTAGTAGATAAGGGCGGTTCTTGTCATGCTTATCTCTATATATTGTAGTTCATTTAAAATCGTGTCGGCACTCATCACTTGTGTAACATGTAGCTTACAATTGCTGCATCTATGGCGCAAATACTTAATTGAAAACGGTTTATTACATGTATATGTCATGTACATGTAATGTAGTGATTGAATAAGTACATACTTTTAAACTCAGATGGGATTTTAATAAGTATTTAGTACTCAAACTGGAATTAAGTTATTTAGTAGAAAATTTCGCATAAAATTGATTTACAAAGTACTTACATATGTACGTTCTATATAACTTATACCAAATAAACTATTATTTCTACTTCTAGACCCTTATTTCAGGCAATGTAACTAAAACAAGTCTTCCTATTATCACCCTTGCACCATGCAGAGAGCTATCAATGAAGTTGATTTTGCATCTCAGTATCAATTAGTAACAGATTGGAATGCATTCATGGACTGTCTATACTTGTGTTGTACTATATACTTGTAATATGGGTAAAAATATGATGTAAATAGTTCTCAAGGAAAGGCAGTTTGCGGCTGTACGTACATGTAGGGCATGTGGTGGCTGTGTTTTCAACGAATCCACTCAAATAGGAAAACTAATTTCTCGGAATATTGTGCTTTAAATTGCGTGTGCAGTGCGCAAGATATGGCAAAAAATGCAAAAACTTTAATTAAACGTTCTTAGCAATGGACAGGAATAGCGCCGATGAAATGTTAAGCAAACAGTGTAACACTCGTATTAGGAAACTAGGAAAAAATAGTTTATGCAAAGATGTGCGCGTGTTGCCGATTTGACTGCGAAGCAACTTAAGGAGGACTACATAAAAACAGAAAAAAAACAATGTTGTATACCTTCATGAAGATTTATTAATACTTGAGATTAATATACTGTATTTTCTTTCTTGGACTGTTGAATTATTTATCATGGAAATAGCAGAAAAATTGCGGGCAATTATTTTCAGTATTTCTTTTCAACTTACACAACAGTGCTGTGGATATTCTTTCCCTCTAAACACGTTTTGCGTGGTAGATAAAATCATACATAAACAAGTAAAGAATGGTGTAAAGCATCAAACGTCTGTAAAAAAAAAAATAATAGTATACTAAAGCATTTTAAAGTACATGTATTTCAACAATAATCCAAAATACTTTTGGGGATTTAATGACATATTTTCAATCCGAAGAAGAAAAATATGAAATTTTTATTTAAAAAAAGTAATATTTACAAATCAGATATACATGTACATATTGTGAGATCAACAGAAAAGACAATTTTTGTTGCAAATACATTATAAATCATGTATTTGAAAATCAGAGATAAAAGGATAGCACCGATGTTTTATCATCAAACAAAGAAGACAAATATAATATCTTTATACTCAAAATGTATATTTACCAATTATATCTGACAAAAGGACGTTAACTCTATGGGTGCTCATTTCATTTACATAGAGTTTTGTCACAAACATGATGCCGATATGCTGCACAGCGCGATGAATGTGAAGTGTTAAAAATGTATAATACACAGCTGTAGCATATTCAAAACAAAATGTAATATATAGTCTATGTTTTATTTATATCATTCATAAATACTGGGCGCCCGTAGCGATTGTGTAAATATCTTATACACTCCATTAATGTATTTCTTGTAAAATCCTTTCTATAAAATCTTAAATTTATAAATCGCTTATGAATATGAAAAAAAGAGATATACTAAAAACAATTTAGTGAAAATACTAGTATTCGATATTTTTAAGATGTTTTATTCATAACTTTAATAAATAATTATGTTATCAATAAGGAAATATTTATCGACGCAATAAACAAATAGCATCTTTATTTTCAGAGTGCAGTTTCTAAAATTAAAACACAGTCACTAACAGCCAGTCTTCAATTTGAAACACTCGTACACACGGAATGAATTTATTATTAAAAATTATCACCAGAACATTTTAGCTGTCGGTGTTGCAAATAAATGACAGGAATTTCAGCGACATTTTCAAGTGTTCAAAATTATTTAGAAATATACATTTTCCAGAAAAATTAATGTATAGCTACATTTATAGTCTAAATTTGGTCGGAAAACTCGTCGACCATCCCCTCCGATAAATTGCGATTTATACGCAAAGCTACCTCTTATAGACTCCTATAAGGAGATGGAGGAAAGAAAATATTTTTACATGTTTTTTTTTTCTTTTTTTTTTATTAGGTTTGAGAAATACAGTGCTGTTTGGAGTAAATATCAGCCATTTAATTTGTATATATTGTTTGGTTTTTTTTAAGAAACGGATAAATGTTTTCTTGCAATTTCATGTATGTGGAATTGATTGATCTTTTGACAGAAGAAGAAAAAGTAAAATGCTTAAGGACATACGCAACGTACCTTACCTACAGGCTCCGGGGCCATAAAACTTAGATGATCTCACTTTTGATCTCAGTCTCACTTTTCCCTTATACATTCCTTTAGTAAAAGTGAGATTGAGATCAAAAGTGAGCTCATCTAAGTTTTATGGCCCCGGAGCCTGATATTTTTTCAAGATATTCTTACTTTAAGATTATAGTGCCATCAGATGTTCATAGACAAAAATCAGCATGCATTACCAGGGGTTTTGAAAAGATATCAATTAATTAAAATTCTTGTATAATTCAAAGAAAAATATACAAAAATTACTAAACATATATTCTAGATGTTTTGTTTATCCAAACTTGTTTTGGAAGAAGTGTACAACAGCATATATAGACATTAAAATGTAGCACACAGTTCCTTTATGCAAATTACGTTGCGTATGTCCTTAAAATAAAAAGTCTTAAGATATTGTTGAATTGAATTCATATCCCAACGGGAAATTTTCATGACTCACATGTTTGATTATGTAACAAACAACTGTGCTCACCCTAGCGCAAGCGCACTGTCAAGATATTGCTAAAATTCCAATACAACAGGCAATTTAAATTTAAAATGATTCTGATGAATTTCAAATTGCAAAATGCTTAGCGCTTCCCAGTACTTTCAGTACTTTGATTCTACTTACGAATGTTTTTACTGAAACCATTTATCGTTGTGTGCTTACAAATTTGTTGTATTGATTTTGCATAAATAAAGTTGATAACAGTATTAAATTAAGAGGAAAAAAGCTAAGGAAAAGGTTAGAAAAGCTCAAATTAAAGTTGGAAAAGCCAAGATTAAAGTTGGAATTACTCACTTTAAAATTGGAAAAGCCAAGATTAAAGTTGGAATTATCAATTTTAAAGTTGGAAAAGCCAAGATCAGAGTTGGAATTACCAACTTTTAAAAAAATATTACGTGGCACTAATACGCTTCCGTAAAAATATATTAGAATTGAATTTTTTGCAAAATGATATCTGCACAAAATTAGACTGAATTTAAAAAGAAAATGCCTATGTTGTTGTAATAATGCGGAAATAGTAGATCGTAATTTTTTCAGTATAATTTTTCAAATTATCTTTTATTGCATAATGCATCACATTTCAATAATTTTTCCTATGTTGATTACTCTAGTTATTTTACACAGTTACTGTGCATACTGTTTCCGTTTATAATATGACACCACTTTAGTGTTTAAATGGTACATCAGAATAAGGCTTTTTCGACATATACTATTAAAATCATTTTTTTTTTACTACAGATTGAGTATCATCTCAACCCTTATGATTTTTTTAACCACAAATTATATACAATGCGCCTAGTTATAATGAATATTTGATAAAATATTATACTCCTAAGGTCTTGGTCTGCTTTGATCTTTATATAAGAATTGGAGATGATATTAGTGACTTACCCTACTTAACAGTCATATGGCACTGAAATAATGAAATACTTATTCGAAAATTCTGTCTTAAAATAGCATAATGATTATGAATATAATGGTTATATAATATAAACAGTCTATATTCGCTTCATGTTTAAATTCAAAAGTCAAATAAATTTCCTGGTAACAGACAAAGTTTTGTGGTGACACACATACATATTCGAAGCCCATGATCTGAAAAGAAAGATGTCAGCTAAGGAATCTTTACATTTAGCGTACTTTTTGCGTTTTGTTTCATTTTACGGCAATTAGTATCTTTATTTTATTCAGTATTAAAAGAACCACTTAATATATCGATCTGTATCGTCTAAAGCGTAAATAACCCCCTGTTGATTTTGAGGTCACAAGATCATACTACTCTGGATGAATATACCGACCGCTCAGTATCTTAAGAAACATATGCTTGACAAACATCAATCTTAAAATTGATGTTGATGACTCCTATTGATTTTAAGATTAAAATATAAGAAAATATCTTGAGAACCCTTTGCTTGACATTAAAATTGGTACAAGGATACATGTACGCCCTACAGAGTAGATGCCCCCTTATGACTTGAGGTCTCAAGGTTAAAAGTCAACATCTTTGTACACATTTACACTTTTTATTGTATTCCCAATACAAAACATTTCAATCATTATATGCATTTATATAGGTCTTTGACAGGAGTGCAAAATAAGACTTAAATTGTCTTTAAAAGTTTGTATTGAAAACACACATTCTTTAACTCTTTTTTGATGTGATGTTAAGAGACACTAGTAACCATTTGACGGGTATAGAGACAGCAGGATCCAAAGTGGTACATGCAATCTGTGACGGTGGATTTACTTCCATTGTAGAATCTAAAACAATGGTGTATGTCATTTGTGTGGTGTTCTCAGAAGAAGTCCGTTGATTTTTAGAAAACCCAATCACCATTGGTCTGTAATATTCCAGCTTACTGGTTAGAGTATCCTCGTTTCCCTCATATTTATGAACATCCTGATAATAGCGCTCTGATAATAATAATATCCCTTCAGAGTTTTCTTCCGTACACAATATAACTATATCTCCATTTCCAGAGGACGATGCCTCAATGGTAACTGTTACCTAAATATAATACAATAATAGGAAATGTATATTTTAGGTATTTCTTTAAAGCTATATATGGCGTATCTGAGCTTATAAATAAAAATACTAGATTGAGTGTAGATATACATGATATATGTTATTTACGTTCAAATCAAATTTTTCACCGATATTGAACTTGAATAACCTCATGTTCCCATAGTTAAATTGACTTTAAACTGTGTCTTTTATTTAAATGCGAGGTCGGTAAATAAATCGATTATTGTTTTAAATTTCTCATACCTTTGAAACCTGATTGATTTCAATTGTGTAATTTACAGGAAAGTCCTATCTTTATATAACGTAATAAAACAAATAGATCTTTTTAATTTTAGTTACTCTAAACATATAGAAAAATACGCCATATTTGACTTTAAACAAATACTAAGGTGAATGCATTATGTGTTAAATTCCTAAGTATTTTTTTTTTTTACAAATAACTTAAATAAGACAAAAGTTTTCAATTTCTCCAACGAACATCTAAGCTAAAATAGATCATCAGAAAGTTATTATCTTAGTTATAAGATTTTTTGTGTGAAAAGTGTCATTGATTACTTTACTGCATTCAAAACACAAGGTTAATGTCATTATTATATATTTTTGACTGTTCAGTAATACTGATCTGTCCTCTGATATTAGTATTTTGTGCAAATGTATGCTTATTTTCATTCATATTTTGCAAATAACATCACTGTTTACAAAGCGACATAGAAACTTTTCTGTTAGAGTCTTAACATCATATATGTATGTGAATTTTGGTTAATTCATATTTTTTTTAAAAGTGGTTCGCTAAAACAGCGTTATATACCCCGTCCCCCACCCCAGCATCTTGTCACAAAAATGTCCAAATTCTGTAGTCATCGTTAGTCTGAAATAAAAGTATTGCACACACCCAAGGCGTAATGCTTGTCTGTCAAAAACGCGCCTAATTAAAAATTAAAAAACTAATTCCATTACTAGTTCTTTTTACATTAGGAACTTAAATTGAAACAATTTTATAAACATATAAATAGATACTCACAATACTACCATTTTTAATAATGACTGTGTTCTCAATCAACGCTACCGGTGCGACATAGATTCTAAATGTAGTCTGTAAAATCTCCTGATCGGAAATAGCCTTACACGTATAATTTCCGGCTACGTCGTTGTCCACCTTCTCCCATACTTTAGATGCTGTCAGATATATCCCATTAAAATATGTGTAGGACAAGTTCAGTTTTTCTTGTTGATTGCCTTTGTTTTTCAAAATCTCTATATATGGCAAAGGATTTCCAACAACCCTACATGTAACAGAGCCGACTTTACCGTACAGGAAAGTAGAGGAGGTCGTCTCCTTAAAGGCCAATTCTCCTTTTAGGTTGACATCTATGAGAGAATTTTCTGGCGGAATACCCATCCTGTATCTTATTCCATGTGACATCTGATTTGTTGGCCGAACACTCATAAATACATTCATATTGCCTCGCAAATTTGCAACATTGTTCGTCTTTGTCTCAAAGGTAACCCTTGTGATTGAATCGCTACTTGCCGATTTAATAAAATTAATTTTTTCCTCAGGATTTCTATCTCTGTCACGTAAGTAAACACTTCCATTGATCCAGTACAATGTGCTGCTATAGTCGATATCTTCTCCATTTTCTCCCGCCTTTTGTAAAAGTTTAAAATCAACTTGTGTCTTGGTCACTTCATTTTCAACCATTCTTTCATTTGTTTTATACTTCATAGACATTGCCTCAAAATCACTACTCGTGCCTTCTGTTCTCATATCGCAAACTACTGATACAGATTTTCTCTGGTCGATGTAAGCCGTCATGAATAGAAAGGATGCAGTGGTGTAGCAGGTGACATTATATTTCCCATCATCACGGAATAGTTTTGGAAATGGTATTGTTGAATTCCCATTAATGGCAAGCAGAGAAACTGTCGGAAATATTTATATAAATGAATATAATTACATACCATTCTGTCAGGTCTATAGGTTAATTCATGTATATATTGTACCTCTATTTGTGATTGCATATCAATTGATCAAAAAAGCTCATTATCTTTATACATGTACAATAAGATCTGGAAACATTACAGCCTTTTATAATTCCTTCTTTTTACAAACTGGAAAATATTCAGTTGTCCTGAAGAACTCAAAGTTGCTAAGACTTGGCCACGGACCTCTCGAAGACAATATATTAAAATATTTGCTAAAAATCTTGATAAAAACTATCTGTCATATCTACCCGGAGTAATATCATCCATTAGATCTGTCCAGCTGCATACAAAATATGTCCTCGCGGGAGCCTCAATCTGAGCTGTACACGCCCTGTATTCGGTGACGGTCCTGGATATTTGGACAGATGTTACTTCTAACGGAAAAGTAGAAAATCCTTCCTCGTCCTTAAACATGAGGAATACAATATATTAGTTGTTTTAAACTTGAGGTTGAAGTTTATTCTACTGACAGTGAAGGCTTTTGTATTAATGTATGTAGTAACATATTCTTAGTACTTTCTGCTTAACATATTTGTTTTCACAGTGAAAATCGTTATGTATGAACAAGTCAACAATATACCTTTTTATGTTTTGTTGTTGTTGTTGTTGTTTTTTGTTGTTTTTTTAATAAGTTTTCATAAAAACTTTTGGTTCGTCAATATGTATAATGCAACAGAATCTTACCTTCACTTCTATAGTGTCATTTTGGTGTCCAATAATATTTTCAAAAAATTGTCTCTTTAGTGCATCCTGCATGTGCAAAATTGCGTATTTATACAGCAAGACAAACGTCTTATACATACAATTTATGTGGACTTAAAAAATTTTCCATTTCTTTAGCTTATGCAAACATTTGCAATATACTCTTTCAAACAGTTGAGAAACACGTTTACATATCTCAATTCAATTCCCCCCATAGTAATTTTGTTCGAAGGAAATTTATCCTTACATAGTTCAGAAAACCGTTATGATGTATATAGTACTCCGTTCTTTACGTGTGACATTGTTGTGAAGTAATCTTCTTATATTATGCTGTTCCGTGGTTTGTGCTTTTTTTCTCTTCTGGATATGTACAGTATAAATATATATAAATTTATCATACCTCTTCTTGGTCTTTGTTGTCTTTACCATCTCCTGATTTTCCATTTTCTTCACTCTGCAGTGTATCAGAATATATTGTAGTTAAGAATAAAATAAAAGTAGAAATAAATCTCCATCCTTACCTCTTCCGAGGAATCTTCGCATGAGGAACCCTACTCAAATTAGAAAATAAATTGTATAAAATACTGAAAGTTGATAGTGAAAACGCAAATCTTATATGTTCTTGACATATCTGTAAAAATTTCAGTGATACATTGTACCATTTCGTCTTTCTGATGTTTGGCCTTTAATGCGTCAACGTCAGCTTTCAGTTCCCCATACTTTCTCCAAAGTTTGTTTATCTAAAAAACATTCACAGAAATTATTGTCTCTACTGTCATCAAAAAGAATATATATATATATATATATATATATATATATATATATATATATATATATATATATATATATATATATATATATATATATATATATATATATAATTTAAAGTTTATTTTCAGCTTTTTGAAGATTGAAAGTGAATATGCAAAACATGTTCTTGTATACAATTAGAACAAGAATATCAAAACTTTAAAGTGTGGGTGTAATGTTTTGGAGTGCTTAATCAGATTACAATACCTATCAAAAATAAAGATTACATAAAGTTACCTCCTCAGATGAATCTTCGTCGGATGTTACCTGTAAGTGGTACAATTTGAAATTTTAAAATGCAGTTCAATTTTGCTAATTAAAACATGGAAATGTTTGATATACTCTCTCTCTCTCTCTCTCTCTCTCTCTCTCTCTCTCTCTCTTTATATATATATATATATATATATATTATTGGTAAACGAGCATTGTCTTCTTTTCACCCATTTTTGTGTTTGGAAATTATGAATAATGCTTCAAAAGTAACCTTCAGAAGGTCATTATTTCTCATATGAAATATAATCCTTACCTCTTCAGAAGAATCTCTATAAGTGTATCAATAAATACTAAGTATTTGAAAAGAAATTTATATTTTGCTACATTTTGATATATGAAACAAGTACCTGAATTAGTGCACTTAAATTAAATTTAGCGCAATCTTCCAGTCAGCTTATTAGTCCCCTACCGGTGAAACCGGGGGGGGGGGGGGCTATAGGTTTCTTCTGAGTCTGTCCGTCCGTCTGTTTATCTGTCTGTCCCTCTGTCTGTGTGTCAGTCTGTCCCATTTGATTTTCTGCATTTTTTTCTAAATGCTTGCAGATATTGAGCTGATTTTTGGTATGTGAGTGTATCCTGAAAAGTTACAGATCAAGTTTGCATTTCGTTCCGCTTCAATGATTTTTGACGGAATTACGACCTTTTCAATTGTTCAGGGTTTTCCGCATTTTTTTTCTAAACGCTTGCAGATATGAAGCTGATTTTTGTTAAGTGACTTTTCCTTGATGAGTTATAGATCAGGTTTGCAGTTCGTTCCGCTTCATCGATTTTTGACGGAATTATGACATTGTCAATTTTTAACGGAATTCAGATTACACTTGCCGGTAGGGGACCAGTATTGTTAATGCAATACTCTCAGAATGCTTGTTAATCATGAAATAGAACATCTGGAGCCAAGTTTGTGTGTGTATTTGGTTTAAATATATTTTGGCGTATACTAGAATTAGCGGACAAAAAAGCAGTATCACGAAAGGCGCTAAAATATAAGTCCATAAAAACAGTACAAATCGGAAGCAGAGCAAACACGGACCTCCAAAAACATCAGAGGTGGGATCAGGTGCCATGGAGGGGTCAGCATCCCCTACCGACCGGTCATACCCGCCATGTGCTCATTGTCATAATCGTGAAAAATGGAAAAATCCGTAGACAATGCAGTGTGTAAATAATGGCCTCTCAGTTAGTATGAAAAACGTCAGTCAGCATTTGACTTAATGACAGGTTGTTTTGCTGACAAGATCATTGTATCGACCATAAAACTTGCGAAATGATGACTTCAAACGAGACTACTGATATCCTTGCTTCATCAACTTGTTTGTCAATAGCTTGCCTTGTTTTAGAAATTATTCATACGTAGAGCATGATCTTGCTTATCGAATCAACTGGGAGACAAATATCCATATGCAGGTGTAAGGGTATATTGCGACAGAAGTATGGGAAGTTGACAATTGAAAAAATGACGTCATCGCGTTTATCATAAAGCTTTGTTGTTTTGTTACCACCAAAGTCTTTTCTAATAAAATATCCAAATATGAAACAGATATGTCAGACTCTGTGGAATCTTTTATTTCAAGATCACTGGGATATATCGAGTCGACATATGAATGGAAGTTACTATTGTTAATTGATAATACGTCTTCGATATATCTAAATGTCGAGTTGAAGGCCACGGCAAGTGTTTCCTTCTTCTCATGTAGAAGTTTTTGAATAAATTCTGCTTTATATGAATACCAAAATGCTTATAAGGGGGCGCAATTGGTATCCATGGGAATTCCCAAAGGATTTTCAATTTGAAAATCACTTATAACAAATATACGGTCTTAATTTTGGGCAAAAGAACAAGTCTTTCATAGTATGCTACAATTACGCTATCGGTTTTTTTCTTTTAATTTTCTTTTGATATTATTTCTTTTGCTCACGATTGTAAATCGCTAAATTCAATAAACATATATTTATATAAAGTTTAATTCGATATACATATACATTTATTTTTAAATTCGAAGAATACAACAGGATAATTTTCATCTTTCGAAATTCTTATAATGAAATATGCATATTATCTAACTCTGTATTTTCCCCTTACCTCATTTGATTTTATATCCTCGGCTTTACTTGGCGCAAGGAAAATAAACATCATCAGCATTAGATTGATGTACATGGCGGCAATTCTAGATTTCAGTTTTGTATAGCTATTGTTATAAAAGTCGCCTAATCACGGCTAGTGGCTGTTATTGTAATAATGATTGTAAAATAAGTATTGTAGACAGTACCGTGTGAAGTAATTCAGAAATAAGTTCCGGGAGTTGAGCAAAAACGTTCAAGTTCTATCATTCAGTTATGGACTCCCATTTTCACTAAAGCAGACAACAAAAAACTCTTTAAATAAGCACAAATCGTGGATGGCACTATTATGCTTGAAATAAAATATAAAAAAAAATTAAGCAGAAGCCAATATCTTCCATGAGATTTTTTTTTGACTACTGAGTCTTCGTGCAGTAGGGATCTGACATCTACCTCTTTTCAAAATTATATATGAAAAAATTGTCCTATACTTTGAATTGAAAACTATCTAAATTTGGTGGAGGACAGAGCAGAACAAGAAGTATCAATCATCGTTTAATTCCATGGTTACAGGCGTCATTTCATTTTCTTCAAGGTAAAAGATATTCATATTTTTATTACCCTTTACAATTATTGTAACTATTCTGAGTGAAGACAGTCTGATGAAAAAATTCTAAAAAGAGACGCACTAGTACAAGCAACTTTTAAAGTATCCTATGGAATTCCATATACGACAGCCAACTGCTTACTGCCAACTGCTCACTGCTTACTGCCAACTGCCACACATATTTGAATAAATTTTCATATTTATATTGATATTTATGTGAATTTTCATAAAATCAGGCGCGGATCCAGGATTTTTTTTACAGGAGGGGCCCACCCAAGTAAAAAAAAAAATCCAACCCAGAAATTTCTTGACAGAAAAAGAACAAAAACAAAAAAAAAACGTAAACTCCTCTTCTAAACGTGAAAAACCTATTTCGGCGGGGGGAAGGGAGGGGGATTGATATCTTATGCTTCATATCTATGACTTTTCATATCAACTTAACACGGATCCGCGTTTTCTAGGGGTGGGTGGGTTTCCAAGGTCACTTTTAGTTGGTTTAGTATAGGTCTATACATTAAATAACTCTACAAATTCCAGGGGGTGATCTGGAACCCCCCCCTTCCCAACGACCCCCTCTCTAGATCTATGTATGTAAAACATAACTTATTTGGGAAAACAAAGAGATATAAATCTTTAATTTGAAAAAATATTTCACTATAGAAATTAACGGAAAATAGAAATTTATTTTCAAAACATCTTCCCCCGCGAAACAACAGTTCCTTTTTTCAGATTTATTCATTCCAAAGGTTTTGTTGTCTCACGGGGGGGGGGGGGGGCGTGTTAAAGATTAAAAACGGGCAAATAGTCATTTTATTACCAATTTCAAATGAGATAACAAATAAAAAATGTACTTTATCACTTTATTAATCTCATATGTTAAATTTTACATAAGTTAAAACATACGGTGAGATTCAAAAGTCATTTATCCCTTATCATTTTCATGAGTATTTGAAAATGGTGACGTTTTCAGCCTGATTTCAATTAATAAAATTTTCTACCCCCTTATGAAAGGAGTTGTAAATAAGAACAATTAACTTTTTGTCACTGGTTTTTAAAATTAGTACTTAATACTAATGAACTTTTCTTTGCATTCAAACAAGTTTTTATGTCCAAATTGCCATTTATATTGAATTAAATGGATGGAAAATGTAGGCGGGAATCGAGAGTTGGTGTGCATAGTTCTTACAATAATAACAAAATTTGGCGGATTTAGGAATTTTTAAACTGTAAAGGCGAGGAAGGAGTAAATCGGAAGAAGGGGTGTTTCCTCTTAAAAACAAAACATTTAATTTCTGCATTTCGTTGCAGGCAAATAATTTGATAGCTTTTTTTTGACGCGGGTAAGGGGGAGGGGGGTCACATACGACAAAAGAACAAACTTTTAAAAGGGTCTTGAGTACCATTTGTTGGTATATGTATTTATAATAGAAATATTACTGAAAGTTATAATAACAAATAACTTTTACCTAGTTTAAAATACCGAGTAATATCTTTCGGATTTTCTTTTTACTCTAGAAAAAGTACCTATTATGGGAATTTTTATATGTGTCTTATGTAAATCGTTTTAATGGCTAATGTTCGATCTGTTAGATCTGTAAAAAACATTCGTGGTGGTGGTGGTTGTAGCGAGGGGGGGGGGGGGCGTAACCACTAAATTTCCAACATATACTATATACAGTAGTTCTAACTTACGGAAGCGTATTAGTGCCACGTAATGTTTTTTTTTAAGTTGGTAATTCCAACTTTAAAGTTGGAATTACCAACTTTAAAGTTGGAAAAGTCAACTTTAAAGTTGGAAAAGCCAAGATTTAAGCACCGCCTTCAAAAATACCTGGTCTGTGTACCCCTGTCAATCAAGTGCATTAAGGTACATCATTGGATGCTAAAACTTGATTGACATTTACTTACTAGTCCCTGTGTATACCCTGTACACCTTGTTTGGCACTCGTGGTGACCTTCAAATTAACTTTTGATCCTTTGATATTTACCACACATGGTTCAATAGAGAAGCTGTATTACTATGGAATTTTTAGCTTGATAATATATATACAAACACCTTATTTGAAATGATTATGATATTCTTTATGATAATACTAGTATATATCAAAATTTGGTATAACTTTTATTGAAAGATCAACAAATACTTTGAATAATAATATTTTTTAATGGGTGGGGAGTCTTTGACAAACATTATTGAAAATTATTGAGATTATCCTTTATTTACAACTTTTTATTTCTAATTTAAAATCATCTAAAAATCCCAACACAGGTAAAGTTTGACTTCTTGGGTATATTTTACTGTGTATTAAATCACTTCCTGTATATAGGGATAGGAGACAAACAACCACAGGTAGACTGTTTGCCCTCAGGGCATTCACACCTGTACAAAACAAGCCCCTCCCTCATCTGGAATTTACCACCCGGTAAAAAATCTCTGCCTTTAAAGTTGGAATTACCAACTTTAAAGTTGGAATTTCCAACTTTAAAGTTGGAATTACCAACTTTAAAAAAAAACATTACGTGGCACTAATACGCTTCCGTAAGGGAGAACTACTGTATATAGTATATGTTGGAAATTTAGTGTTTACGCCCCCCCTCCCCCCCCAACCACCACCACCACGAATGTTTTTTACAGATCTAACAGGTCGAACATTAGCCATTAAGACACATATAAAAATTCCCACACATAGGTACTTCCCCCCCCCCCCCAACCACCACCACCACGAATGTTTTTTACAGATCTAACAGGTCGAACATTAGCCATTAAGACACATATAAAAATTCCCACACATAGGTACTTTTCCTAGGGTAAAAAGAAAATCCAAAAGTTATTACTCGATGTTTTAAACTAGGCAAAAGTTATTTGTTATTATAACTTTCAGTAATATTTCTATTATAAATACATATACCAACAAATGGTACTCAAGACCCTTTTAAAAGTTTGTTCTTTTGTCGTATGTGACACCCCCCCCCCCCCCTTACCCGCGTCAAAAATTTGCCTGCAACAAAATGCAGAAATTAAATGTTTCGTTTTTAAGAGGAAACACCCCTTCTTCCGATTTACTCCTTCCTCGCACTTACAGTTTAAAAATTCCGAAATCCGCCAAATTTTGTTATTATTGTAAGAACTACGCACACCAACTCTCGATTCCCGCCTTCATGAAAATGAAAATGGATAAATGACTTAAATCTCACCGTATGTTTTAACTTTTGTAAGATTTAACATATGAGATTGATAAAGTGATAAAGTACATTTTTTATTTGTTATCTCATTTGAAATTGGTAATAAAATGACTATTTTCCTGTTTTTAATCTTCAAAAACAACCCCCCCCCCCCGTGAAACAACAAAACCTTTGGAATGAATAAAAACTGAAAAAAGGGATCTGTTGTTTCGCGAGGAAGATGTTTTGAAAATAAATTTCCATTTTCCGTTAATTTCTATAGTGAAATATTTTCTCAAATTAAAGATCTATATCTCTTTGTCTTTGTTTTCCCAAATAAGTTATGTTTTACATACACGGATCTAGAGGGGGGGGGGGTCGGTGGGAGGGGATGGGTGGGTGTCCGGACCACCCCCTGGAATTTGTAGAGTTATTAAATGTATATACTAAACCAATTAAAAGCCACGGTGACCTTGGACCCCCCCCCCCTCCTAGAAAACGTGGATCCGTGTTAAGTTGATATGAAAAGTCATAGATATGAAGCATAAGATGTCAACCCCTCCCCTTCCCCCGCCGAAATAGGTTTTTTACGTTTTTGTTTGTTTGTTTTGTTTTGTTTTGTTTTTTTTTTTTTTGTCAAGAAATTTCTGTGTTGGATTTTTTTTATTGGAGTGGACCCCTCCTGTAAAAAAAATCCTGGATCCGCGCCTGGTTTTATGAAAATTCACATAAATATCAATATAAATATGAAAATTTATTCAAATAAGTGTGGCAGTTGGCAGTAAGCAGTGAGCAGTTGGCAGTAAGCAGTGAGCAGTTGGCAGTAAGCAGTTGGCTGTCGTATATGGAATTCCATAGTATCCAAAAAATGATTTTTTTTTTTTTTTTGTACACAATCCAATATAAGACTAAGAATTGAAATATCAATATATCGGTCCATACCTATTTATACTGGTCATAAATGCAATGTTTAAATAATTAAAAGCTGAAGATAACGAATCAATAATCATCTCGAGAGTCCAAATACGGATTGTGAGCAGAACAAATTGAAACACGAACCACTGAAAATATTAGAACTGGGATCAGGTTCCGTGTAGGAGTAAGTTCTCTTGTTAATCGGTTACTCCCGCCTTGTGTCCCTTGTCATGTTCGGATAAACGGAGATATCAGTAGATAACTCAATATGAAAATTATGGCCTAACAACTTGTATGAAAGATATCAGTAAGCATTTGATCTAACGACATATTTTTATGTAGTTTCTTTCCTTCTAAACTTTTGTAGGCAGAAAAAGTCAAAGAGAATAATATGTATTGTCCAGTAACTTCTCAAATACATTTTAATAGATTTCTTTTTAGACGTCTTTTAGCCAGATTATTGTTGTGACGTTACTGTTTGTATGACAAAAGCGTGGAAAGCGATTGTCGAGGGCACTCAGTGTCCGGTGGGCTTCCGGTGTACTGACCACTCTGCCCGCCTGAGTACTGGCTAGCTGCATGACCTTTAGCTGAAATCATCAAAATAAAAATTTTGGATCCTATTTTCAATATTATGATATAATGGCAATCAGCACATCACTAAATCTTTTCCGTCAAGTTAATTTTTTTCTCGACGAAACATGCTGCCGACAGTTGTTCCGATTGGACACTATAGGTTTGATCTTATATTGTATTTTTCTAGGAACTACCATTCTCCCTGTACCACAGAGGGCAGTTATAGTCTCAAATAGTCTTAGTTACCAGTGGACAGAATACATTTATTGCAGAAACGATATGATAGAAAAGAAATAGCTATTGATTTTTTAAGGAAAGAAATGTTCAATGCTGCGTTACCTCCACCACTTTTATCCCGCCAGGTGTGTGAACCAGTTGTACTTCTTCAGCAGTCGTGTTGTACAGCCAACAAGTATAACCCGAATGGTGACTCCCATCCTTTTTCATGCTTATAAAATGCTGCAACAGAAACTCCATACAACATTATGTTCATAGCATCGTGTCTGTAACTGCCTTGCTTTTCATTGAATATTTTAAATTTTTGAATGCCTCTCTAGATTATTTATTGAAATTGTATATATCATGTAAACAATATTTCTTTTTAAATGACAAACCTCTTGATTTCACCTATTATCTTATGAAGAAGTCCGTGATGGACAAAATATAATACTCTAAATTAATACCACTGACTTTATTATACAAGAAGTAATATGCTGCAGACTCATCAGGTTCTGTTTGTATGGGTACAAATGTCTTCTTAGATCGTGGTCGTCCATCGATGATCAAAAGACAGTGGATGAAAATGCACTAAGAAGTAAGAAAGATTACTAAACAAGATTCTACATACTGGAGTTAACAAGTATAACAACAAAAAAAATCAATTTTCAATTTATATATTTTTAAAATGTAAAAAATTTAAATTCCTATATGCAAAACACGGAAGATTCTATAAAACTCTTGTTAATTTTTATCGTTAACCACAACAGTATTAAGGTGTACTTTGCTGCATATTTTCAACAATGTCAGTGGAAAATTTAGCGAAATTATGTTAATAATACTTAGTTATATCTGATTGTTGCTGAATAATCCAATTTTTATGTGACGGTACAATTTTGGCATTTTTGTATCCGTTTACAAATTGTATCGATTGATATAAACTTAAATGAGGATGAAAGGCCCATACAACCAGTGAAAAACCGTCAAGTAGTATACAGATTTACTATACAGATAATGAAGTGATCGACTCAAATGATGTAAGAGATGCACATAAACTTCTTTCCTCGAATATTTTAAGCGCTTTGTGTATTTTTACTTAAATGTTACTAGTTGACAGATCTGTGTAATTTTCAGCAGACTTACCAGCAAGATGGAGAAGTAAGCAGATTTCGACATTTTAGTTTCCTTTAATTTTAGATATTGGCTGTACTCTCTATCTATAGATAAACTGTAATAAGAGGCAAGATAAGACTTTTATCTTTGGAGCTTAGGTTTGCAAGACGTGAACGTTTAGCGGAGACTGTGGCATTGTCTTACCATTTTAAAGTATATTTTACTTGTTTATAATTAACCTCTTGTGAGTAAACTTCTTAATATCTGAAATTTGATTTGTTTTCCCCCACATTTTGCATTACCTCAGCAAATACTTTTTCACATCGACTTTTTCACTTTGCGTCATATTTTGAAATGCATCATTACGCCTTTTTCGCGTTCTTAGGGTAAGAGTAAGGGCTAACGTTTTATTGCATAACATCGCTTTTTCACTTCGCCTTATTGGTCCTTTTTTGGTGTTAATACACCTTTTCACTTTGTTTTATTAGGCCTTTTAATTTCCCCCTAGATCCTAATAGGCTTCGTTTCAAGCTAAAAATCAAAAATTAATGTTTCGAATATATTCCAACCATAGCTCATTTCAACTATAAATAATTGCTTATTTCGAGCTGATAAGAAATGAGTTTTATCACATTACTGCAGATATTATTCTAAAACAATTCGCTTTGATGTGTTCATTAATTATTTTATCAAAACTGTGAACAATACAATTTGATGGGTGTACGATGAATGACAAATCCAGGGGTAAGCAACAACGGTTACTTTAGTCAAATTTAAACGTTAATGATATTATTGCAAGGAAAATAAGCACGATATACATTTGATTGATAGACATGATTGCTCTTCTTGATTTCAGTGCGATCTAGATTTTTAGCTATCATCTCACAGTAAGTCAGTACCTGCATTTAAATATACAGTAATGAGTGTAATCATTTCTCTCAAATATATGATGTAGATTAATTTTTTCCGAAATAAATTCCAAAACAGCTGGGAAAAAAGTTCATTGTCAATTATTGCACCTGTTTCTTATCTATTTATGAAGAATTGGCCTTTAGCTTGTCCTTTAATTTAGCAGAATAAAGCTGACAATAAAACATGAGTTAAAAAGGTTCTATAATGCTAGTTTAACATCATTCCAGTACTACTTCATTGCCATCAAAGTAAAAGATATCGTACTGTTTTAAAACCGTTCACAACAATAATTTTGTTATGACCAATTTATAATGCCGATAAATGCAGTGTTTAACATATCAAATATATGTTTGGAATCGACAAAGCGAAGGTTTATTCTTTTCATTCTTTGTTGTTGTTGTTGTTTTTTTGTTTTGTTTTTTTTTTGTTTTTGTTTTTGGTTTTGTTTTTGTTTTTTGTTTTTTTGTTTTTTTTTTTTTACTTTTTAACTGAAATAATAAATTTGACACATATATATATATTCTTTTCATTTCGCAATAAAACAAAGTCATAGATCTAGAGAATATAATATTTTGAACAATTTTATATAAGAATTTTACAAATACACATTAAAACCTTCCTTCCTAGATGTCTTCCAACCAGATGACTGTCGTGGAGTTATCCTTTGTATGACAGAAGTTTGGAAAGCGATTGTCGAGGGCGCTCAGTGTCCGGTGGGCTTCCGGTGTACTGACCACTCTTCCCACTTGAGTACTGGCTAGCTGCATGACCTTCAGCTTCAATTGTTAATGGTATTTCGAACAATACTATGATTATACCTTCTTGAACTCGTAAAATATTGATTTTTTTTAAGAATACATGTAAGTTAATTGTGTTACCTCCACCACTTTTATCCCGCCAGGTGTGTGAACCAGTTGTACTTCTTCAGCAGTCGTGTTGTACAACCAACAGGTTACACTTATGTGGTGTGTGCCCCCTGTCTTCATGCTGATGAAATGCTGTAACAATAAACTTTTCCATATATTATTGTTCGCAGCATCTTGCATTTTATTTTCTTACTTTTCTTTGGATGTCTTTTTTTTTTTTTTTTTTTTTTTTTTTTTTTTTTTGGTTTGTTTGTTTTTGAAAGCATTTCTATATTAAAGTGTTAAGTAAACATTATTTCCTCAAGTAAATGAAAAATTCCCTAACAAAAAAATAATATAGTTAACTATAGTTTACTATAGTTAACTATAGTGATAAATTTGACACTATGAAAACTTTGATTTACTATAGTGAAAACTTTGACACTTTGATTTACTACAGTGATCACTTTGAAAACTTTGATTTACTTTGGTGAAAACTTTGATTTACCATAGTGATCACTTTGAAAACTTTGATTTACTATAGTGATAACTATGACACTATAGTGATCACTTTAAAAACTTTGATTTACTATAGTGATCACTATGACACTATGGTGATCACTCTGAAAACTTTGATTTACAATAGTGATCACTATGACACTATAGTGATCACTTTGAAAACTTTGATTTACTATAGTAATAACTTTGACACTTTGATTTACTATAGTTAACTATAGTAAACTAATAGTTAATTATAGTATTTTTTTTTTTTTGTTAGTGAAGGCAAAACACTTGATTTCTAGGTATCAGAATGTCTTATGGATGTGTTCTTGATGAACGAGAAACTACACTAACTTTATTATACAAGAAGTGATACACTGACGACTCATCTGTTTCTGTGTGTATGGGTACAAATGTCTTCTTAGATCGTGCTCGTCCATCAATAATCCACAGACAGTGGGCAAAAATGCACTGGAAAGTAAGACAGAATACTAAACAAAGATTCTGTGTATTGCAGTTAGCTGATAATAAAACCTTAATTCGTATAATTAAAAAACAAATTTACTGACATATCATAAGCAAAATGCTTCATGCAGACATTTCGCAAGAGATTTTGTAGAACGCCTGTTATTATTATACTTCTTTTTTTTTTTATCATTGTTCATTGTTATTGTAAACTATGACTGCAGTAAGATGTTCTCAGCTGCTGATTTTCAACAATGTCCGAAATTTAGTCACATTATGTTAAAGATAACCATATAATTGTTTGAAATAATCAAAATTTTATATATTCGGTTCACCCTTGACATTTTCTGCTTTCATATACAGTGTATATCATAAATGTTAGCATATAATTTTGTCGAGGGATATAAACCCATATTATGCTGAAAAGGGCTATAATGTTCACCAGGGAGCACGTGATGAAATGCTGTCATTTTTATTTATACTAGAATATACAGATAATAAGGTCATGGATTCAAAGGATTCAAATAATGTGAAAAAAAATTAATGAAAACTTCTTTTCTCAGATGAACATTTACTTTAAACATCTGTATTTTTCTGCAGACTTACCAGAAGAATGGGGAAGTAAACAGATTTCGACATTTTAGTCTCTTTCAATCTCAGGTAAATGCTGTGTTATATAGATAAAATCGCAGGAGGTATCCGAGGACAAGATAAGACTGTCCAGCTTTGTTTTGTTAGACGTCTAATGGAGACTATGATATTGTCTTACCATTCTTAAATATATTTTATTAATATTTCTAAAAATAGCCTTTTTGGTGAATAAGCTTAAGTGTCTAAAATTTCATTTCCATTTTTTTCTTCATATCTTACGAAATTTTTGTAAAACTTTTATTTCTAGTTTTTGTGACTCAACTTTAATAGTATCTGAAATTTTCTTTTCTTTTTTATTCTTTCTCTCTCTTTTTGTCTTCATAATTTACATAACTTTTGCAAAAAGACTATTCCACACTTATTTTGACTGCCATGGCAACCAGACAACTTTATTGAAAAGTTCACAATCGACAAGTCTGACATTGAAGTATGAAATAATATTAATTCCCTCTGTCTGACACAGAATTAGTATAACTTAGACATTTTCAAAGAATACATCGAAATCGTCATATTCTCCTTAAATTAAATCAAATCACCCAAAGAAAAAGGTGATTTGTACATTATACTGCAAAGTTTGATTGGAGAAACCAATCGGTAGTACGTCCAAATTCAGTCATTTATAATTAAATTGTGCCAATTTCAAATTTTTTTTTGTCACAATCAAAAAATGTTTTAAAGTGCTTAATATACTAAAAGGGTCTTTTATTTCAAAGAATAAAGATAAATTGACCTGCAAAAAAAGTTCACTATGACATATATCATTATACCATATGATATATGCTATTTTGAAACATAAAATTGTCGGAAAACTCGTGCCACAAACTGACGGTATACATAGACATTTGCATCGTCGTTGGACAGAGAAAGGCTTATAATTAGCCAATATATTTCTTCAATTGATATCACAGAAGTCAAATATGAAGAATATATATATATATATATATATATATATATATATATATATATATATATATATATATATATATATATATATATATATATATATATATATATATATATATATTAAAAAAGCAATATCCAGATAAGTGCTTATTAATCAAATAAAAAAAAATGTAATATTTCATTAATTATCACAAAAATACAGTGAATTACTTTACAAAATTCTATTGCCCATCGTTGGTATCACCCGTGGGTATCGACGATGTCTATTGCCATGAAACCTTATAACCTTTGATACTTTCCTTGTTTAAATTATATAACTCTTTGTTGAAAATATTTTTGTAAGAAAAATAGGTATTTTCTGTCTTCTACAAATGCAAAAAAAAAAAAAAAAAAAAAAAAAAAAAAAAAAAAAATCAAGTAAAGTATATAGAATTAAAAATTTCCATTTTGTGAGCCTGTACATTAGCATGTCTGTTTACACTAAATACATCTCCTACATGGAATTCAAATCATTCATTTGAAACTACCAATGATGCTTTTAATCTAAGAATTTATCAAAACGATTTCAGAATGCTGCAACTTTTTATCTGTTTATTATCTGTTGAATTATGTTTCTAAGTGATTTACGTTACATTTGATTCGTGTTTGTTGTGACCACAGCCAAATTTTTCTGTTAGAAATTAATGTTTAATATAATATTTTAACAATTTTTTTTTTTTCATTAAAAGTTGACAAATAGTGTAGGGTTTCACATAGTAAAGAGTTTGCTTTAGATGCCCCCCCCCCCCTCACTTTTTGTTACTGCAAGGCTTAGGACAGTTAATTTAGATTTTTTTTTTTTTTTTTTTTTGGTCAGATTATTTTGGGAAGTTCCCCCCCCCCCCCCTTTTGACAGTGTGCGTAACACATGGTCTACCCAAAGTTGTCGTTCCTTTCATTTCTTACCCAGAGTTGTCGTTCATGTTCAACTCAACATTCGGCCTAATCTTACATTCTTTAAATATAAAGAAATGTGTAGATCTTCATTGGATTCGAAATAAATATGCGGCAGCGATTAATATGCGGAAAACATTTTTAACGTTATATTGGGGAAAGTAGTTTGGAAATATCACCAATTTCCCCCGTAATAATAAAAGCAATCATCATTCGTTATCATTCGCTATTTATTATTATTTTTTTTAAAAACCAATTTAGTTTGTTAGGGTGGGATGGTAATATACCCCCCCCCCCCCCCAAAAAAAATTGACATATAGATTATGCTTATAAATAAATAAACTGTTTATCTTGGCATATTCCCAGGTAGTCTAGTGGTTAGGATTCCGCGCTCTCACCGCGGCGGCCGGGGTTCGATTCCCCGTCTGGGAAGCATTTTTTTTTTTATTCAATCATTCCTCTCCCAAGAAATAGCATTCCAAACCAAAATGAAAGTTGAGCTCCTGAAACAAAACATATATATATATATATACTCTTTGGTATACATGTATTTCAATGTGTGATCCAAAGAGAGAACAGAAGCGTAACAATCAAAATAAAAAGGATCTAATGAAGCTTTGATTTTAATCAGACTGCTTCCATGTAATAAATGACTAATCATCCCTTTGCTGTTCTTGAGAAGAAGATTTATTAAGATTTTTATTATGTATTGCTATGTATAACTTAATTGATCACCCATTGTGGCCCTTCCCTTAATTACTTCCAGGGTCATAATTTGAACACACTTGAATCTACACTACCTGAAGATGCTTCCATAAAATAATGACTAATCATGGCTATGCTGTTCTTGAGAAGAAGATTTATTAAGATTTTTCATATGTATTGCTATGTATAACTTTGATCACCCCTTGTGGCCCCTCCCTTACCTCCAGGGTCATGATTTGAACACAGTCACCTGAATCTACACTACCTGAAGATGCTTCCATATAATAATGACTAATTATGGCTGTGCTGTTCTTGAGAGAAGATTATTAAAGATTTTCTCCATCTATTCTTTTGTAAAAGTTTGTATAAAATAATGACCACTGTATACACTCAAGGAAATTTTCGTCCCTGTTTTATTTTTGCCCCTTTCACCCAACTCGCAGGTGGGCAAATTTAAAACGGCGCGAATTCAAAGAATTCAACAGAATTGTGACTGGGCGAATTTAGAACAGGGAAATATAATTTGAAAGTGTGAAAGGGCAAAAATAACACAGGGCAAGAATAACCTTGTATACAGTATTCATGGCTTTGCTGTTCTTGAGATGAAGATTTTTCAAGATTTTCCCTATCTATTCCTTTGTAAAACTTTGATCGCCCATTGTAGACCCACAATAACCCTTGGGGTTATGATTTGAACAAACTTGAATCAAGTTTGGTTGAAATTGGCCGAATGGTTCTTGAGAAGTCAAAAATGTGAAAAGTTTACAGATGGACAACGATCATATGATTTGAACAAACTTTGTCCGAGTTGATATTGTCCAAGCCATGATTGAACAAACTTTAATCTGCTATACCTGAGGATGCTTCCATATAAATAAGATTAATCATGGTTTTGCTGCTGACAATGGGTGTTGTCTCTATTTGAATGAAAAATTCTTGACATTAAACAACATACAATCAATCAATCAACGCAAGGATACTTTGCGACAAGTTTGACTGAAATTTGTCTAGTATTTCTTGAGAAGAAGTCGAAAATGTGGAAAGTTTACACATGATGCACACCTACATGATGATGGACAAAAACAGAGAGCAATAGATCACCGAGTGATTCAGGTGACCTCAAAAATGTGAGAAGTTTATGATGACAAGGACAACAAAGAAGCCATTGCTGAAACACAACAGCAAATGTTCAAACACAAAAGCTGACTTGAGCATTTAAATTGGTTCATGTGAGTAAAAATAAAACCAAAAAAATCTTTCCATATTCCTAGCAACTGAAGAAATAACATTCAAAACAAATGGTACATTGACATATCTTTTATTATTTTCACTGAATTTAACAATTTAAAAAAAAAAATTGCAAATTTCAATATAAAAAAATTGAAACTAAATGTCTGACTAATGATCAAGTACATACATGTAGTAGGAAAGTTTGATAAATTAGTTCAATCTTTAATGCCATGTTCACATGGAGAATTTAATTCGCAGTAAATTAAAGCGAAGTAAAATGATGCGAATTAAAGTGCATTCACACGACAGCTAATGGAAAGTAAACTAATGCGAATTAAAATTTTATTTCTGCTATAAGGCTATTCAGTAAGGCTATTATGATGTCATTTGCAAATCACGTCATATTGTGCAGAGCAGATATACATTTGGCATAATGTCATAGTGTCTGTACACATTTTAGTGATTAACATAATTTTCCTCTGTTTTCCACTCAAAAATAGAACAAGTACCTATATTTGACCATTGACATGTGGCCTGTGACTCTATTCTGCCCTTACGCATGCATCAAAATTTAATTCCAATTAGCTTCGCTTAGTGCTAGCGTTCACACGGAGCTAAAGCGAAGTAATTTAATGCACAGTAAACTAATTCGAATTAAACTAATTTGCATTAAATTCTCCATGTGAACGCGGATCAAATTTAATTCTCAATGTTTAACTCGAATTAACCTCTCCGTGTGAACAGGGCATTAATTTCAAAATCTAATAGTTTATATACCAACAATTTCATCCCAGAGAATGACTAGTTCTGTTTTTTTTTTCAGATAGGAAACTGCATTAAATATCAAGCTGCAGAAACATGTTTTTTTTTCTTTACTAAATAATAGTTTATGGCTAGAAAAATCATATTATCATATTTTGGTTGTTCTTTGGGGTATTTTGTTGACCACCCAACCTCCTTAAATTGTGGATCATAAAGGTACATGTGTGAGCATTTCTTATAAACCTGGTAACCTCTTTTCAATGTGACCACTTCAGACACCAAAAGGCATTTCTGTGCTGACATAAGAAAAATCTCAATTAATACAAAGTATCAGCTACAATACTGTATTTCAATAAATCTATAGATCAATATTTCATCATCTATAATACAAATGAGAACAAGTATAATGTACGTTACAGGCAAATGGATGAATCTAAGCAATGAAATGGTTACAAGTGTTCTTCAAAAAGTTTTCATTTTCTTTATACTAAACTTCTCCTTCAAACAAGAAAAACATGACAGTTACCAAAAATTGTTTAATGGTTTAAAGTTAATACTAATCTATATCATTTCTGTAGCCAAATAAGCATGTTTCTGTTTGAAGACTATATCTGAACAAATGTAACAAAAGAAATTTGCTTTGCATTATATAATTTGAATGTTCTAACTATGATTGACAAATTGAACCAAAGTCTAAAATTCTGCAAGTTCTAGAGAAGACTAGTTACTAGCATATAACAGTCCCTTCTCCTTTATAATATACAGGATCACTGGAATTATTCAGCTTTGGGAATGTCTCCTAATGAAAGACACGTCCTTTATTTCAGTAATTGTCTGAGGTTGAAAATTTGTGGTAAGGGGTACCCACAAAAATGAACTAATGATTTTATAATATGCTTCAGTAAAGCAAGCAGAACACTCACATTTCAGATATCTAAATGATTCATGCAATTGACAGAATAGACATTTTCACATCTACACTTATAGAAAGTTGTATTTTTTTTACCAACATATGGTTGGACTTTTAACACTATAGAAACATCAACTAAATAAGAAAAACAATCATACTGCACTTTTAACCAGCTTCTACATGATTGGTAATATCTAGCCAATATCTGGTCTATGTCTATATATAAAAAGCCTATGTTAATTTCTCAATCCTTCTGTCTCCTTTCAGCAGCTTAATTACACAAAGCAATCATGTTAGTTATATAATCATATTATTTAAAATAAGACACCTTAATGTACTACCGTAGGTAACATAAAAAATATTGCATAACCTGCTTGTCATTGTACACAAGAATTTCAAGGTCAACGAATTGCAAAATATAAACTATCAAGTTGTCTTTAAAATGAATTTTTGAAATATAAAATATGAGCATAAACATATATAAATCAGATCATATATCAATATTTTCATCTGAGGGGCATGGTAATAATGGTGATGAATTGAACACAGTTTTGGTGCCTATAACTCAGGATAGGCAAAATTGTAATTATCAGGCTCTGGTGGTATGGGGGGAGGTTCGTTAGGAATGGCTATCCCCTCAGCATCCAGCAGTCTAATGCGGATCTCCATGTCTAGCAACATGTTAAGGTCCTTCTTCATTTGGGGACTAGTCATCTGAAAGGAAGATGTGTCAGCTGTTTACATGTGTCAGGGGGAAGTATAAGGTATTGGTGCAAACACGTAATCATTCATTATAGTAACATTTACATTTCAAATAAACAAATGAAACACACAAAAACCAATCAAATTGTACCCTGCCTACTCAACCTTTAGACACCGTAGACACACATTATGCTTATATGGGTGAATTCCAAAATAATGACCAGCAAATTTAAATTTTTTGAAAAAAATTCAACTTACTATAACATATTTTTCAATTACAACATACTGTGTATTCACTAGTTAAAATTTCCAAAGTGACAGTATAATGACAAATGCATAAAATTTTAAAAATTTTTGTAGAACTTCATTTGAAAAAAAGACCATATTAAAACATTCTAAAAGACTTTCTGAAATACATAATCAAAAGAATCTGTAGTTTTTTTCATCCTTCAGACCTGTGTCAGGGATATAAATGGTTAGATCTAAACCTTGAGTGAGATCCTTCTTTGTATATGTGAAAAAAAATGGCTTTCTGATTATTATTTCATATCAATTGTCTCAATTTAGGTTTGAAAAGTTTAGATTTGAAAGAAATATGATGCAATAGATTCCCCCAAATTACTTTTTTCTCAATTTATATAGTCAGTTCTTCAAATCTAAGCCCAAAAGGAAGTTTGATTATAATAAGTTTTCTTGTTTTTTTTATAACTACAATATGTCCATAGAACATGAAAGCCCCACCCAAGGTTATTTAGCAACATGAGAAGATGTGTACTTTTTTTCTTTGTTCAAGATTAGGTCAAGGTCACAAGGAAGGGTAAGGTCAATGAAAATTTACAACACAATTGAATATCTTTTTTTTTTTATTAGTGTATGAATTTTGAAAAAAAAAAATACTGTGTCTATTTGAATTGTTTCTTTGAAAGCAAGCTTATAAAACACAAATTTAAGAAAAGTGAGGTCAAAGTCAAAAGAAAGGTCAAGGTCCAAAAATGTGGATGCAATTGAAAAGCTCTAACCAATATGTATCAGCATACAAGGTTTGATAAAAAATATCTTGAATAATTTCTTTGAAACTCTTTGTCCGGTCATTTTTTTTAATTCACCCATATTATTTACATAATTACGAAGAAGACATTACTTAAAATATACATTATTCTTGTATTAGCACACTCAGAATTAAATTCAACTTTCCTCATCAACTGATCAGTGTAATGATAAATTAGCACATCCAGGCCAAGCTTCTACATGTATTTGATTTAATCATATATTTCAGTGTGTACTTAAATTAGTGGACATGATGACTAAATCCATACCATTTTCAAGGTTAACTATATAATTATAGATATTTACATCAACTGTGTTCCAAATTTGTTCATTCTGCAAAGGAATATTTGCTCCCCCCCCCCCCCCTTCTCTCTCTCACTATGTGTGTGTGTTGTGTGTACTACTGTCTTAAAGCAGGATTTAATGGTACTGTAACTGATATTCATTTTAGACTGCATTGTTTACCTCGTGACCCAGTAAAACATTTAATCCATCAGTCCACATGTCAAATTCAACCTCGTCTTTTGCCACAAAGCAAATCATATCAGTGGTCTCAGAGTTGACCGTCTGGATAGCGAAACTGGTAGTGGTCATCTGTCAAAAAACCAGATCAAAGGTCAGATATAAGAATGGAAAATTAAAATGACACCTAGGGCACTTTTTGCTGAAAAAGAAAATAACTATATGCACATGCAAAAAGAAAAACCAGCAAACAAACAAAAATATATGTTTTAATGATAGCACAACACTCTCAGTAATTTTAGAGAAATTAACCATTAATTTCAACTAAATCTAGTTATACCTGTGTTTGCATGCATGAATGTCACAAACAGATGCATCTTTTATAAATTAATATAAACAGTTTCATATATATGACACTTTTGAATGTAAAATGAGCACAAATACAAGAAAGATGGCATGGTTTGCTTAATGAATTTGTATCATTTAATCATTGAATTGTATAATTAAACAATTATTGCTGTATATTCAGTCAATATGATGATTTAGCCTGCCTCGAAGTACAATATTCATCTTACCCTTTGGGTTCAGTGAATATTGTACTCCTCATGTGGCTAAATCATAGTATTGCCCTTAAAACAGAAATAATTGTGTAATGTAGTTGGAAAAAAGTTTTTAAGAGCTAATGTTTTTGTTTACAAAACCAGACTTTAATTAAAAATTATCTTATCTGAGAATGCTTGCATATTATGACTATAATCATAGTTTTGCTTTTCTTTAGTTGAGGAATTTTAAATATTATTTATTTCCTATATATAAAACATCTGAAACTGTTTATCTCCTATTGTCCCCTAAGGGATAATGATTCAATAACTTGCATCTGCACTAACTGAGGATCCTTGCATATTAATATGACTAATCATGGCTCTGCTGTTCTTTAGAAGAAGATTTATTTTCTAAATATTTTTTTCCTATGTATTCACATGTTAAACTTTAATCTCTTATTGTGACCCCCCCCCCCCCCCCTAAAGCCATGATTTGAACAAACTTGAATATACATTATGTCAAGATGTTATCTGGCCCAGTGGTTCTGAAGAAAATTTTTGAATGACCCCACCAAGTTTAAACTATTTCTTAATTATCTCCCCTTGAAAAGGATGTGGTGCTTCATTTGCACAAACTTGAATCCCCTTTAGCCAAGAATACTTTGTGGTAAGTTTTGTTGAAATTGGCCCATTTGTTCTAGAGAAGAGCTAAGTTGAAAATGTAAAAGTTTAATTAAGATGATGATGCCAATTAATGCAAATTACAGACAGAGGAATAATTTTGATCAAAAAAGCTCACTTGAGCCTTTGGCCCAGGTGAGCCAAAACAAATCTGTATTTTAATTCTTAATTCCATCCACAAAATGTATGACTTTAAATAATTACATACATATTTTTGTAAAATTCCTTAGAAAGTTAGTTACTGATTGATCAGTACGTATATTTCTCTATAGTATAAAACGTTCAACTGATTACTTTAGGGTCATGTTCCTCAATAGTATATAATTTTTCTCAAGAATTTGTAACTGAAGTATATATAGCTACTTTAAGAAGATTCCTCACAAAAAATTGGAGTACTCTACCAGGCATTTGTGCACAATACCAGAGAATGTTGTTTCCTATATAATCCTATTGAAAATTACTTAAAATGCTGATATCTCAATTGTTGGTGTACAGTGCATGTATATAAATTTTTAAACATTTCGAAAACAGTTCAGAATTCATAAGATGATTATAGATATTTTTAGTATATTCTTAAGAGACATAAAACAGATATTCGAAGAACGTAATGCCAGACCTGAAATTATGATTTGGGAATAACTATCTTCTAATTTGGTTTTTGCGACCGTTAGTGCTGATTTAACAGTCGCAAACTGAGTTTTACTGGCAACGCGTAAGTGGAGCTGGTAAAATGGATGTTTGCGACCATTAAATCAGCATTACTGGTCACAAATACCAAATTAGAAGGTAGTTATTCCCATTCTAATGCAATTATTGATTTTGTTACACATAATACGTCACAGAATGTTGTGTTTTTACGTCGCTTTATTGTGACGTCACAATTAAAAGCTTTCACTCTCGTTAATGGTCGTTTAACTGTCTTAAATCAAAATACGTTTTACAATCAAAATACGTTTTACAAAACAATTGCATTAGAATTTTCATTTATTAATAAATACGAAATGTGAATTAAGAAATACACTGTATTTTTGAAAATTCCCTTTTTTTTTTTTTTAGGTATATCTGGAAAATAATTTCAAGATATTTGTTGAACTAAATGTAATGGAAGGGAACTCCCCTATTAATTTTCTCATAATTTCAAATGTCAATTATCTTTAAAGAAATAAATCAATTAGTGTATTAATTAGGTTAAATCAACACATAACTTGCTTTGATCATTAAATAGGACTTCATAAAAAGTCAAGTCAAAGTTAATAAACAAGTATAAAGTGGGTTAAATTAGTCAAAAGATCAGTGTTATAAAGATGACAACAAAAGACAAAGTGTTAAAGAAAAGTACATATCATCCAACTTGCTTCAAAAAATAAATAAATACATGTAAATAAATTAATTAATAAACAAATCTACACTTAATGGAATTTCACTCATTTCTACTACTTAAAATTAAAAAAAAGAACAACAAAAAAACAACAACAACAACAAAAACTTCAACTCATTATCAGATGAAAAATCATGTCCTTAATGCTATATTTAAAAATAGGGGACATATTTTATGGGTTAAGAAAAAGAATCATGCATAAAATTCTGAATGAGGTTGATGTAGATCATTGTTTACACAATCTAAGAAACCTGTTTGCGTACTTTATCTGTGATTACATTGTGTGTCAAGTGCTGCAAAGTAAGACATAACACTTAGCTTCAACAATTTCTGTTTGAATTATTTTTATACTTAATTTTTCAAATTTTGGCCATTTTTGACAAATTAATACATAATTATACAGTTAGCACTACTCATTTTTTTTATGAGAATTAAGAACAAAGAATCATTTTCCATCTATAATTTAGATTCATTATTTTGTTTACTTGTTTTTAAAAAAAAATAAAAAATAAAAAAAAAAAAGCATTGAGGCCATTCTGGCTGCAGTCCTTTAGCACATGCTAACAGCTTGATGGGTCATTCAGTGAATCATCTCAAAAAAAGACATTCATGACATGTCAAACAATATAAATTATTGTTAAATGCACAAAGATTCTTAAAGCAAATTAAAATAATAATAATAAAAAAATAATAAAAAATAATAATAATAGAAATAAAAAATTATGCAATGGAGCAAATGCAGGTATATATATTTATTCTGTCAAACTTTTTTTCTTTTTGCATGATAAAAATAAAGATGAAGTATGTAACATTTCTCCTATAATAAAAAAATGACATATTTGTTGCACTTATGGTAATGTTATTGACATGAACATCAGCCACGTCAATTTTGATGTACCATAAAAAATATATAATTTGTTGTTAATTAATTGTTATTCCATGTGATATTTAGTATACAGGGTGCACTAAATACAGTGTATGCTCCTATTACAGAGGCCACAGATTTGCGACTCTTATATTGAGGATCATTTTTAAAATTTATTCTTATGTTTTAAAATTTACAGGAATTGTTGTGTGTGTGTTTGCTAGATAATCTGAGAATGATCAAAACACATAATGAGTGAATTCCACCTCAATGATTTCAACCAAACAAGTACTATCCATTTCATTACAACATTATCTGAAGAGTTATCCATGTCTTGTCCATGACTACATGTACTTAAAAATAGGATTAACTGTTACAGAAGTAAGTTTCAGTCATAAGATTTCTATGATAACTAAACACTAAACTGTAGTTTACTTTTTCAAGTTTCAATTTCAAGTTTCACTTAATTTATTAAATATTTTTCAATGAATATCATGATAGTAATATATGTGATCTATCAATATCTTGCAAATTAATACTGTACATTTTATAAAAAAAAAAAAAAACCAGTAATGAATTGTCATGTGGATGATGTAAGCCAACGAGCCTGGATGTACCATCTCTTACAGCCTAGATGTAAGCTAAAATTTAGAAAAATAACAGTGGCGTATTTGTGTTGTTATCTACAAAATGGCCATTACTGGAAGCAAGCGAGATGTATTATTAAGTGTCTAGTAGACGAGCTGTAGTGGTCAGTGAGATTATCCCTATTGTAGGTTACCGAAAAGGCATGGTCAGTTGTTTTCCAACCCAAAAAGTGATGCTGGTGATCTGTCTAACATACAAAGAAATCAATGGGAAAAAAGCTCAAAAATCTCTAAATTAGTCAAACCTAGATATCAATATTCAAACAATGAAAAAGTAATAAATATATGTTACAGGTTTAGGAAGTTTTTAGTTTTGTCAAGGAAATCAAAATGCACAACTACTGTATAAGATTGAAGCTCTCTAAGCTATAAGCTGAAAAGTAAATCATCCTCCATTGCACATTTCAAAATGAACATCCCATTCTGACATCCCATTCTGACTTAGCTGTAAGAAGCCCCAATACATTCTTTTTAGGGACAGACTTCATTCAGTCAAACTCAATGTAGCACAGAAAAAAAAAATTAATTCTAAGATAGATATTAAATTTTATTTACCTTAAACTTATTCTTTGGTAAAGTTCCTGTAGCTGCCTTATAATTAATCACAACTTTAAATATTTCATGTCAAGTACTAATTGAACCTACCTGCATTCTTGGTTTTGTCTACCGGTACTTGAAAAATTTCAGGTGCATAGATAAAATGTTTCATAAATGCAGCTTAGGATAAAATTTATATCTCAAAAAACAGTCTATATGTACAAATATTGAATTTTTTAATATCATCCAGGTTGAATTCCATCTCATAATTTTGTTCAGTTGTGGAATGATGATAGCTACCAAATATGAGAGAATTTGACAAATCTTCTGTGTGTTCTCTATTAATACATGTGACATAGCATCCAATTCTGATGTAAGGGATGTGAAAATGAATGATATGAAAATCATTGAAAAAAAAACTTTTATACAATGTAAATAAAGGTACACAGTTATATTAACTGTAAATTAGAAAATAAACCTATAGCTTCCAACAGTTGTTAATCATGTTAATATTAAGTGATCTTTGCTAACCACAGGAAAATTTAAATCTTCAGTGAATTAGTATAAAATGTAAAAATAAACAGGAAGTATTTAATTCTATAGGCATGCTCACAAGAACTGTAAAAAGAGACACTTGAGCCATTCTGCTCAGCCTTATAAATTTAAAATTTGCTAAAAATTAAGGTGTCATGTTTTGAAGAATTATAGTCCATAGAATATGCAGTAGAGAGTCAGAAACATAAGTTTTACATTTCTGTTCTTACATGTAAGTGTTTTTTTCTATTAAATATATAAATTTTTTAACTTTGAACTACCCCTAATATGCCCCCTGCCTGGACCCCCTAATACTAGTACTTCCCCTCTTTGGTTCATATGCCATTTCCACAGACTTAAAAGAGCATAATATGAGAGTCTTTAACAACAAATCAACACAATTCTTGTTTTGAGTAAAAATTTTGCTCATGATTTGCACTTATATGTCATATATATCAATACAGAAAGGGGAACAGTCCTTTCTTTGAACATTCTCCCTAAGATTGTTCTGAAGAAGCTTTCGTCAAATCTAATCCTGAGGATTTGGAGGTCAAAAACATAAAAAGGTGTTGACAACAAATTAAGACAGCATACAGACTTTGATCAAAATGCTAAGGAGATTTCAGGGACAGCAAAATAGAAGAATAATTTGTAAGTCTTTTTCAGTCTTTGCAAATGTTATACAGACTAGAAATGTGTCCAAAAGACATGAATGCCCCATCCAGGTTTCATTAGTAATGCAACATGAAAATTTGTATAAGTGTATGAAGTATGATGAAAATATCTTGAATAGTTTCTTTATTCGGTATTGACCAATATTTGCCCCCAAAATCAAACTTTGAGAGAAATCTAAAATTATGTTCTAAACCAGGGGGATATCTGCAGAATTCAAAGCATTAAATATTTTCATCAGTTATGACGCCATATGTTAGATATGAAGTCAGGAAAATGACGTAAATTCTAAATTTCAATGATTTATAGAGAAAAAAGGTGTATATTACGTTGATATTTTGAGTAAAAGTCACCTAGAGCAGGTATGTTTTGATATAATATGTATAATATCTATGAAATATGTGTTTATTGTTATGGAGCAGGCTTGCACTTTATAAATTATATGGTAAAAATTGAACAAATTTTGACCATTTTGTCCTCTTTCTGAAAAATAAAGCAAAATCCAAACAGTTTGTGACGTCGTAGAAAAAAAATAACTTACTGCAAAACAATAATATTTTTTGTCACTTCAGATTTGTCATACAATAGATGCAATTCAGTGTGTTTCAAGATATTTTCAAAATTTGACTTTTATGGGAGCAAAAATATACATATACCACAAATAACTTTTGTAAAGTCAAAGGTCAAAGGAAAAGTCAAGGTAAAAAAAAAAATTGGACACAATTGATGAATTCTCACAAATTATGTATCAGTGCATAAGCTTACAAAAAATAGCTTGAATAGTTTCTTTAAAACTGAGCTAAATGCAAATTTAAGAAAAGTGAGGTTAAGGTCAAATTAAAGGTTCAAGGTCAAAAGATTTTTTGATTCAGTTCAATAGCATTCACCAAAATCTATCAGTAAATGAAGTTTAATAAAAATATCTTGATTTGTTTTTTAATACTGACCAAAAAATAATTTTGAAAAAAATGAGGTCAAAGGAATGGTCAAGGTCAAAAAAGTTGACACACTTGAATAGCTTTCACCAAGCAGGTATGGTTTGATAAAAATATGTTGAACAGTTTCTTTGAAACTAATTGAAGAAAAGCAAGACCAAGGCCAAAGGAAAGGTCAAGGTCAAAAAATGTTGATGCAATTGAATAACTCTCATCAATATGTATCAGCACATATGGTTTGATAAAAATATTTTGAATAGTTTCTCTGAAACTAAGCCACACACTTAGTCAAGGTAAAGAAAGTTCAAGGTCAAAAATGTTTTTGCATTTGAATAACTCTAGATCTTGTCAATATGTACCAGCATATGAAGTTGTTAAAAAAATATATTGAATAGTTTTTTTTTAAACTTAGCTACACAAAATTTAAGAAAAGTGAGGTCAAGGTCAAAGGAAAGGCAAAGTCAAAAAATGTTGATGCAATTGAAAAACACTCAACAATATGTATCAGCATGTAAGTTTTGATAAAATTATCTTGAATAGTTTTTTACTGAAACTGAGCTAAACACAAACTTTTGAAAAGTAAAGTCAAGGTCAAAGGAAACATCAGGTAAAAAAACAAGAGGCCCATGGGCCTTGAATCGCTCTTCTGATGAACTGTACAACCTATCACTTCTATTTGAAGCCTCAAAGTATCCTGTATATTTACATAAACCCTTGAAATTCCAATTCACACTCTGAGAACCCAAGATGATTCTAAGCCAATTAGTACCTGAGAGTTGGTCATGGTGACCTACTTATCACTTGTCATTCTCTGAGGACCCATCAACTAAGTTTGATGATTCTAAGCCAATTAATACCTAAAATATTTTTTAAAATTATAATCATAAAATTTTATAAGTAGGTCAAAGTGACCTACTTTTCAATTGTTTTACTCCAAGGACCCAAGATGCATCAACTGACAAAGTTTGATGATTCTAAGCCAATTAGTACCTGTAATATTTAATTAAAGCCATAAATTTTCAAAAGTAGGTCACCGTGACCTACTTTTCAGTTGCTGTACTCCGAGGACCAAAGATACATCGACTGACAAAGTTTGATGATTCTAAGCCAATTAGTACCCGAAATATTTAATTAAAGCCATAAATTTTCAAAAGTAGGTCACAGTGACCTACTTTTCAGTCAACCTACTCCGAGGACCAAAGATGCATCAACTGACAAATTTTGACGATTCTAAGTCAAATAATTCCTGAAAATATTAAATACAGCCATAAAATTTCAAAAGTAGGTCACCGTGACCTACTTTTCAGTTGTTGTACTCCGAGGACCCAAGACGCATCAACTGACAAAGTTTAATGATTCTAAGCCAATTAGTACCCAAAATATTTGATTAAAGCCATAAATTGTCAAAAGTAGGTCACAGTGACCTACTTTTCAGTCAACCTACTCCGAGGACCAAAGATGCATCAACTGACAAATTTTGACGATTCTAAGCCAAATAATTCCTGAAAATATTAAATACAGCCATAAAATTTCAAAAGTAGGTCACCGTGACCTACTTTTCAGTTGTTGTACTCCGAGGACCCAAGACGCATCAACTGACAAAGTTTAATGATTCTAAGCCAATTAGTACCTGAAATATTTGATTAAAGCCATAAATTTTCAAAAGTAGGTCACCGTGACCTACTTTTCAGTTGTTGTACTCCGAGGACCCAAGACGCATCAACTGACAAAGTTTAATGATTCTAAGCCAATTAGTACCTGAAATATTTGATTAAAGCCATAAATTTTCAAAAGTAGGTCACCGTGACCTACTTTTCAATTGTTGTACTCCGAGGACCCATGACGCCTAAACTGACAAAGTTTGATGATTCTAAGCCAATTAGTACCCGAAAATATTTTATTAAAGCCATAAATTTTCCGAAAGTAGGTCACGGTGACCTACTTTTTAGTCGACCTACTCCGAAGACCCATGACGCATCAACTGACAAAGTTTGATGATTCTAAGCCAATTAGTACCCGAAATATTTAATTAAAGCCATAAATTTTCAAAAGTAGGTCACAGTGACCTACTTTTTAGTCGATCTACTCTGAAGACCCAAGATGCATCAACTGACAAAGTTTGATGATTCTAAGCCAATTAGTACCCGAAATATTTAATTAAAGCCATAAATTTTCAAAAGTAGGTCACTGTGACCTACTTTTTAGTCGACCTACTCTGAAGACCCAAGATGCATCAACTGACAAAGTTTGATGATTCTAAGCCAATTAGTACCCGAAATATTTAATTAAAGCCATAAATTTTCAAAAGTAGGTCACTGTGACCTACTTTTTAGTCGACCTACTCTGAAGACCCAAGATGCATCAACTGACAAAGTTTGATAATTCTAAGCCAATTAGTACCCGAAATATTTAATTAACGCCATAAATTTTCAAAAGTAGGTCACTGTGACCTACTTTTTAGTCAACCTACTCCGAAGACCCAAGATGCATCAACTGACAAAGTTTGATGATTCTAAGCCAATTAGTACCTGAAATATTTAATTATAGTCATATAAATTGAAAAGTAGGTCAAGGTGACCTACTTTTTAGTTGACGTACTTTGAGGACCCAAGATGCATCAACTGACAAAGTTTGATGATCATAGGCCTTAAATTGTTCAAAATATGCCTCTAAATCATTTTGAAAAAGAATGGCCGCAAAATTTAAAAAGTAGGTCACCGTGACCTACTTTTGAGTCAACATGATATGAGGTCCTTAGATGCACCAACTGACAAGATTTGATGATCCTAGTCCTTATAGTAAGCAAAATATCAACATTTTAATAAAATGTAATTTTTGGTCAACTTTGAAGTGACCTTGAGACCACGCCCTTTGCCCCAGGGTAAATCCCCGTGCAAATTTTAATCTACAACATATCCTCATCCTTTTGTGTAAATTTGGTGATAATCTGCCCAGTGGTTCTTGAGAAGAAGATTTTTTAGCAACCAGTACTTTTGTTTCTATTTTCCTAATGATCTCCCCTTGTTAAAGGGTCACAATCCCAGTTTTAGTATAAAAGGGAGCCCTTGGGCCAAGGATACCCTGTGACAAATTTGACAATAATTGGCCAAGGGGTTCTTGAGTTATGGCCCATATTCTAAAAAGTTTACGCACACCGCACACCGCACAAATGGCCATAGCATTAGCTCTTTGAGCCTTTGGCTCAGAAGAGCTAAAAAAGTTGATGCAGTTGAATAGCTCTCATCAATATGTATCAGCATATGAAGTTTGATAAAAATACCTTGAATATTTTCCTTGAAACTGAGCTAAATGCAAAGTGTGATGGAAGGACAGAAGGATCATGGAAGACGGACATGACAAACACTATTCATGGTGGGGCGTAAAAATTCTATATAGAAATACAAAATACAGATACCGGGAGTCTGCAAATCAATTTTTTCCAGCTTAATTTTAAAACACCTTTTGAAACTTGCTCATGAAAAAGAGAAAACTGATCAAAGCTGAGTTATGTGCATATACTTCTTCATTTGGTATACAGTTCATTCCACAGGCTAATATTCTCTGGATGTACATCATTTTCTTCATGCAAACTAAAAAGCTAAGCATATTGGGAAAAGTGACAGTCAGTGCTTTCTAAGGATTTGTGTTACAAGCTTACAAATGCTAAAAAATTAAATCTATTTAGAATAAAGTATAATACCCCTGGTACAAATAAATTGTGACTTTAAACATTAATTTTTTTAAACCTGAAAAAACTTGATTGATATGTGTACAGGTTTATCTTCATGTAGAGGTGGTGTCCTTTGATTGTTTATGAACCTACTGATAGAGTTACCTGCTCTTGATAATTTCAATGTTTTTACATAAAGAAATGCATCATTCACTTTGCTACATGTATCTCTACCATCTACAATATACTTGACAATATATTCAAGAGTTGAAATAGGAGCACCATATGAGGTAACATTATAGAAACAAAATCTAACATAACTGAAAATGAATGGAAAATCTGTGTGTAAAAAAAAATGTTCATATTCCAGACACCTCAGGGTCAGTTAAAAATATTAGTCACTATACTTACTGTTTTAGCTTTATCTTTTTTATCTTTGATATGAGGACAGTCTCTTCCTGTTACAAAGGATTTGATGTCACTCACAGGCACTGAAAAAGATACACAAACATGTACACTTCTAGGTGGCACTGAAAAATACATAAACATGTACACTTCTAGGTGCACTGAAAAAGATACACAAACACGTACACTTCTAGGTGGCACTGAAAAAGATACACAAACAAGTACACTTCTAGGTGACACTGAAAAAGATACACAAACAAGTACACTTCTAGGTGACACTGAAAAAGATACACAAACAAGTACACTTCTAGGTAACACTGAAAAAGATACACAAACAAGTACACTTCTAGGTGACACTGAAAAAGATACACAAACAAGTACACTTCTAGGTAACACTGAAAAAGATACACAAACAAGTACACTTCTAGGTGGCACTGAAGAAGATACACAAACAAGTACACTTCTAGGTGACACTGAAAAAGATACCCAAACATGTACACTTCTAGGTGACACTGAAAAAGATACACAAACAAGTACACTTCTAGGTGACACTGAAAAAGATACCCAAACAAGTACACTTCTAGGTGGCACTGAAAAAGATACCCAAACAAGTACACTTCTAGGTGACACTGAAAAAGATACACAAACAAGTACACTTCTAGGTGGCACTGAAAAAGATATACAAACAAGTACACTTCTAGGTGGCACTGAAAAAGATACCCAAACAAGTACACTTCTAGGTGACACTGAAAAAGATACACAAACATGTACACTTCTAGGTGACACTGAAAAAGATACACAAACAAGTACACTTCTAGGTGGCACTAAAAAAGATACACAAACAAGTACACTTCTAGGTGACACTGAAGAAGATACACAAACAAGTACACTTCTAGGTGGCACTGAAAAAGATACACAAACATGTACACTTCTAGGTGGCACTGAAAAAGATACACAAACAAGTACACATCTAGGTGACACTGAAAAAGATACACAAACATGTACACTTCTAGGTGACACTGAAAAAGATACACAAACAAGTACACTTCTAGGTGGCACTAAAAAAGATACACAAACAAGTACACTTCTAGGTGACACTGAAGAAGATACACAAACAAGTACACTTCTAGGTGGCACTGAAAAAGATACACAAACATGTACACTTCTAGGTGGCACTGAAAAAGATACACAAACATGTACACTTCTAGGTGGCACTGAAAAAGATACACAAACATGTACACTTCTAGGTGGCACTGAAGAACATATACATGTATATGAACATCCTAAATGGCACTGAAAAAGATACATATACATGTACATCCCAAGTGGCACTGAAAAAAATACATATGCAGTCAAACCTCGTTATCTCGAACTCAATGGGACCAAGAAAAAACTTCGAGATATCTGAAGATTCGAGATATCCTGGGTGAAATACTTAAAGAAAAAGGGGTTGGGATTTCCAAAACACTTCGACATATCAAGGGTATTCAAGATATCAGCATTTGAGATAACGAAGTTCAACTGTACATGTGGCATCCTAAGTGGCACTGAAAAAGACACATTACATCCTAGGAAGTGCCAAAGGCCAAGAGCAATATAACACATTGAACTGTTTCCAGCACTGAGGGAAAAATGTTCTAATCCATTGACTGTTAAGACATTAGATAAATGTTTTATTAACTAATTACATGAAGAATACTTGGGCTCTTCCAGTCCAATAGATCACAGGCCCAAACTTCTCCAACTATTCACTGATGGTCCAATAGATCACGTTGAAGTTACTTAAATAGTTCATACAGATGAGTATATATACAAAGAAGTCAAAAATACTAAATACAGTCAAACCTCGTTATCTCAAACTCAATGGGACCAAGAAACAAGAGGCCCATGGGCCACATCGCTCACCTGAGCACATTGGCTAGGAAAAAAAAGCAAAAATCAGTACAGTAATGAAAAGTATACAAGGAGGGGGGTGTTGAATTTTAAACTACCTGATGATGCTTAATATCAAAATAACAAATGGCTTTGTTGTTCTTGAGCAGCAGATTTTTTTCCCATATATTCATTTGTAAAAATTTGATCTCCCATTGTGGCCCCACCCTACCCCCGGGGGCCCTCATTTGAACAAATTTCATTCTACACTACGCAAAGATGCCTCCATATCAATTTGACTAATCATGGCTTTTCTGTTCTTGAGAAAAAGACTTTTTCCTATATATTCCTCTGTAAACTTTGATCACCCATTGTGGCCCCAACCTATCCCCGGGGTAATGATTTGAACAAACTTGAATCTTCACTATCTGAGGATGCTTCCATATAAATATGACCAATCATGGCTTTACTGTTCTTAAGAAGAAGATTTTTAAAGATATTTTCCAATATATTTCTATGTAAAACTTGGATCCCCCATTGTGGCCCCACCCTACCCCCCGGGGTCATGATTTGAACAAACTTGAATCTACACTACCTGAGGATGCTTCCATAAAAATATGACCAATCATGGCTTTGCTGTTCTTAAGAAGAAGATTTTTAAAGATATTTTCCAATATATTTCTATGTAAAACTTGGATCCCCCATTGTGGCCCCAACCTACCCCCGGGGGTCATGATTTGAACAAACTTGAATCTACACTACCTGAGGATGCTTCCATAAAAATATGACCAATCATGGCTTTGCTGTTCTTAAGAAGAAGATTTTTAAAGATATTTTCCCATATATTTCTATTTAAAACTTCGATCCCCCATTGTGGCCCCACCCTATCCCCAGGGGTCATGATTTGAACAAACTTGAATCTACACTACCTGAGGATGTTTCCACATAAGTTTCATCTTTCCTGGCCCAGTGGTTCTTGAGAAGAAGATTTTTAAATGATGCCAATATTTTTTCACTAATTCCTAATTATCTCCCCTTGATAGAGGGTGTGGGCCTTCATTTGAACAAACTTGAATCCCCTTTACCCAAGGATGCTTTGTGGCAAGTTTGGTTGAATTTGGCCCAGTGGTTCTTGAGAAGAAGATGAAAATGTGAAATGTTTACAACAACAACGACAACAACGACGACAGACAACAGACAAATTTTGATCAGAAAAGCTCACTTGACCCTTTGGCTCAGGTGAGCTAAAAACTTAGAGATATTCGAGCATTCAAGATATCCAGGATAAAATACTTAAAGAACAAGGGATTGGGACTTTCCAATCACTTTGACATATCCATGGTATTTGAGATATCAGTGTTCAAGATACCAAACTTCAACTGAACAAACTCTATTGTGTTATGTACATGTAGGTAATAAACTGATATACTGTTAACCAACTTTTATTTGGGTGTGAGAAATATCTGCTAGTATCATGATCTATAGCTTCTTTTTCTTACAAATATTTCTTGCTGTGAACCATTTATTTAAAGCAACACCGTGGCACAAAAAAGGGGAAATTAAGGAATATAGAAATTTTGCATGACACATGCAAATTTTATTCAATTCTTGAAACTATTAGGTTTCAGAAAATTACAGGTTTCAGAATCTTATAAATCTACTTTTATGGAGAAAAAACAATTTTTGTCTGGCCCAAGACAAAAATATTGATTCACTTCTTCCTCCTCAATGTACATATATGCAGAAAAGTTGAAGAAGTTACCATGGTCTTTCAAAAGTCCCAAGATATGAATGTCAGTAGACCGAGGATTTTGATATGGTCTCTTAAAAAAGATTATCAGAGCATATTCTTCACCTTTGCATGCTCCAATTCAATGCTGTTTTCAAGTTGCGTGACCTTGGCATGGACAATAACAACAATACAGTAGATACCACCTGTTTTTTCCAGCATTTATTTATTGCAGTCTTTCTTGCTTTACAGTGCAGTTGAGTTTGTCAAAACTTCACTTTAATAATATTTTTCATGAATCTTTTGCTTTATGATACAAATATCTTAAAAGACATCCATGATTTTGACTCATTATCTAACTTTAATTGCATCTGTAGAATGTTTCCTAAGAATGTTTCCTAAGGAGTGAAATTTTAAAGTCATGAATGAATTTTAATCTGACAAATTGCAGATAAATGTTGTCATGAATAATAGACTGATTCACAGTACCATAAGAGGTACTAAAAAAAAACACGGATATAGTCTAAGTAGAAGTGAAAGAAATACAGCTATACCCTGAGTGGAGCTGTTTAAAAAGAAAAATTTAGCCACACTTAAAATTATACATGAAGGTATTAAATATATTCACATGTAGTAGATTCTGAAATATCAATAAAATTATATAATATGCAAATACCATGAGGAATAAAAAATAAGGAAACTTGCATACAAAAAATAAACATGTATTTGTAAAATTCACCAGTATCCTAGAAATTCATATGGTAATGGTTTCTGATAAGATATTTTCTATTTAAATAGGAAACTATACTTTAATCTTTACAATAAATGTACTCACATTTATTGCTTAGTTGTTCTAAGGCCAGGTGATCATTCTCAGCACAATCCCCGTAATAGAAGGCTTTCAAATTGGGGGAGAGTTTCCACTGCCAATACTTATCTATTAAAAAAATTGTTTGAAATGAGACAACTCAGCAAAATTATTAAAAATAATTTTTAAAGAAAAGTCAGATTTTGATATTTAGCATTTGCTATGATTACCCCTAGCTCGCCCTTTTGTGGTGTATTTTGAAAACTTTGTTCCCTCTATCAGGTAGTTCAGTCTCTGTTGGCGAATCAGTTCTTTCATTTCAGGTGTGATCATTTTCCTTAGCTCTCTGTATTAAAAAATGATTTTCAAAAGAAATTAAATGACATTGCTTGGCACAAATACTGAAGTCTTACTAAATTTCCAATGAGTAATTAAGACAAGCTGAAAGAACCATTACAGGTATATTTAGAATAGAATGTTAACTCGATTGTCCTAATAAGACATATCCCCCATGGGGGCACAATCAAAGCATGGTAAACTTCCACAGATTCATTATATATCTTTTGTAATAAGCCGGGAAAAAAAAATTCATTTCTTTCTCCATAATCAGCTAAATCTCAAAACAGTCTTGCAGGCATTAGACAAAAACTATTCAAACAAAATTTTACAATTTTTCTAAATTTGTTACAGCATTCACAAGCCCAAATAACCTTGAGTAGTTGTCCGGATACACCTTCAGGTCAGAAGAAATCTTTGTAAGCATCATAAGTATGCATGTCCAATACTTTCCAATATAGAGACTTTGAAAAGTTGAAACATACTTTAATGATTTTATGTCCAGGACTCAAGGTCATGATACATGTACAATTCAGGTAATTAGTACAGTAAAACACACTTATTGCGAACAAACTTATAATGAATTGATGCTTACAGAAAAGAGATTTTCATTCCCTGTGGCTTTAAATTATATTGTAAACTTAATGGTTATAACAAATTACATTTACAATGAAGCAAAATCATCCATCCCTGGCACTTTTTATAAGCATGTTTTACTGTATTCCTTTCATCCATTAGTAGATGTTCATGTTTCTTCTACACAGGTTAGCTTGAACAATTCCTACAAACATCTACCCAACCTTTATCTGGTAGGGGTAAAATAAGAGATTCCAGCTTACACAATAGGAGCAGCCTGGGCCTGATCCTCTTCCTTGCTCTTCCTGTCACGTTCCCACAGTCGGATTATTTCTGCGTAGGTCAGTTGATTCAGCCTCACTCTGAAGGCATCAAAGGTGGGAGGCTGTATCTGAAGAGCCCTGGTTATTTGTTCTCTTGCAACACCTAGCACCTGTTATAATAGCAGAACACTCATAAAATAAATACACTGCATTAGTTTTCCTAAAATAATATGGTAGTTAATAAGGACAACAATTTGTTCAGTTGCTATTTTTGTTTTTCACTTCCTTTTTTCCAAAAATGCTCATACTTCCATTTTCCGAATTATTTCTTTGTTTTTTTAAATTTTTATTGAACACTTTGGCAAAAAAAATCTGCATATTTCAGCAAAGTGGACAAGACCTTAGGGAAATCTTCAGTGGAAGCCCTCATCTCCCTCCAGGTTTTATTGAGTAACTGGATACAAATACAGAAAAACTCCTCAAACGGCTTGTCATGACTGAAGAACATTGGGTAATAAGTGGACTCTTCATCCTGGGCTACAATCAAAAGACAAAGTCAAATTACCCTTGCTTTTGGATGTGACACACAGGTACTAAGATCTTATTTACTACTATTATAGTTGTTGTCTCCAGAAGCTACCTTTTTTTCTGATTTAATGTTGTTCTATTCACTCATTGACCAAAGGGCCTTAAGTTGGTATAATTTATAAGAATGCTTAGAAAATCTGTAAAATTTTGCTACTTAATTTAGTAAGCATGTGTACTCACGAGGTTCCCCAATTCTTAGTATTTCACAAAGGGTCTTGGTCAACATGATGCTTGCCTTTATGAAAGGGCAGTCATGCTCATCTGCCCTTGTACAGTTTTCTAGCACAACCTACAGAAAAAAAAATGTTATCTTATCTGAAGTATGATAATGCCTGCAGCACATGGATTACATAGGATCTATAAAACCAAGAAATGTGAAACTGATGTCAAAGAGAATGTCAAAAACAAGAGAAGGTCAAGGTTACTTTTTATGATGCAAATGAAATCATATGGGTTCTGTAAATTAATGTAGAGATGTTCCAGAGAAGCAGTCTAGAGAGAACAAGTTTGGTGCTCTTTCTGATCTCTTTAGACTTTTCATGCACCTTGGAAACACCTCTACATTTTACATACTGTAGATGTACATTTTTCCACATGGGATTAATTTTCGTTTCAAAAATTGTTCATAGAAATATGTCACAGTGTACTTAAAGTGCATTTAAGACATACAATTGCAATCCAAGAAATCCATGCAAATTTTTACCCGCATCTTGAACAGAAATTGTGATTCTGAAGAATTTTGACATCATGGAAAAAAGAATATATACAGTTGTTAGAAATCACTTCTGTTGCTTTCAATTACATGTGCTAGGTATCAAGGACATTTTGCTTCACTACATGTTTTAAACGGCATATGCAAATCAGCGGATGATGAATGTAGTCATTCAATCATTTTCAAAGCTAGATCTCACCTGACATCAGTAGGAAAAGTGTAGATATTGATTAAAATAAACTGTGAATTGATGCACCCCCTAGAATTCAAGATGGCAAGTGTCCACCTGTTACTTTTTTAATGTATATAGAAAAGCAATATTTTTAAAAAAACTGCCAATTGAAGCGATTTTTGATCTCTGTTTTAATCAATGTATTAAGATCGACATAGAAAAACACACAATACAAAATGTACACCATCCTGAAGCAGAGCCCCTGTGGATGTAATACTCTCTAGTCTGTCAACATTGAATGATATCATTTGACTTCTTTACCTTCAGAAATTGGAACTAAATTTAAAATCAGAACATGTGAGTACAATGTTAGAGGGAAGTCTTTGTCCACTGTAGACTAACCTTGACACAGTTTTCCTGGTATTTGTTGGAGAAGTAGCAAATGTTGTCCAGTGCTAGAATACCTGGGGGTGTGTTCAGTGCAAAATCAGTGGCAGGGTTTGACTGGTCCTGCAGAAAAATCACAACAAGTGCTAACATAATATTACAACAGTCGCCAAAGTGAATCTAATCTTTGCTTAGGTAGTGAAGCATTAAAAGAATCCTGTACAAATGTACAGTCTTGAACTTGCACCAAGTTAATCATTTCAAGGATCAAAGAAGTCTGTACAAATATCTTGATTTTACACTGTTTATATCAGGTGCCCCTTTGTTTTTTACTACATGTACCTGGAAGCCAAGTTTTCTGTAGAGAGTGGACCTACGATTCCCTGCCTGGTTGGTCTCACTGTCCACATCAAAACAAATCTTGGTCAGTGAGTCAATCTGTTTCTGGACATTCTACAACAGGATTTAAGGACATCATAAAACTATATCTAAGAAATCTTATGAGGAAGAGATTTACATTATATATCAATGAAAGTCCCATTCGATTCCTCTATAGTTGCTGAATTACTTTCATTGCATTTTTTAAAAAAAGTTTTAACAATCCATTGACATTCACTTACAAGAAAACACTGGAAGTAAATTTTTCATTCTTTCAAAATAAATCTATTGAATTTACTAAAGAAACATGACTGCCATTGATAAGAAAGTTGGGTTAAGTCAACCGGACTCCCTATAGATGGACAGGGAAATAAGGATAAAAGACACAGTTGGAAAAATTGTAATAATACACATAAGTTAAAAAATGCAGTATTGAAGCCAAAAACACTACTAACATAGTCAACTCTGTAACATTATCCCCCCTTTCCACCTTAGCATGATCTGCCTGGCACATATAGTTTATGAAAGTTAAAATTAAAATTAATTCTCCATGAAGTAATTAAAATACATTTTTTAACACTCAATGTACCTGTCTTAAGAAATGACACACAGATGAATAACACAGATGTCTTATCTTCCTAACAATTATATGAAGGGACACAAAAACTGTGATTGATTTATCAAAAGAAACATTCAAAAAACATAGAGGTCTTAGTGAAACATGGCAATGGCTATATAGCTATGACTGAGATGACGTTTACTGACCGGGTCATCTGGGTCGGCTGGAGTGTTCATTCTGGCCTCGTGCATATTCAGCATCAGAGTCTGAAGGCAGTACAACTGGTGACCCATCTCAGACCCAATGGTACGTGACCCATTCAGAACAGACTGAAAATAGATAGAACAAGCGATCCTCAATCAGAAATTATAATACATGATCAGGGTCTGTAGGCAGAACAACCCATCATCAAAGTCATACTAGGAGACCCATTCATTTTAAAAACTCCAAAAAACATACCATCAGCAACAGACGGACACTTTAACATTATGATATTCATGTTCCACTTAAGAACTGTGGAAAATATAGGCTGACATTTTATATATATTTTCATTAAATTAAACTTACTGAAGCAATATATCTTTCATAGTTATCTGTCATCAAATCAAAAGGTTAATTTCATAAAAATATACATTGAATACTTCAGTTCATTTGTATTTTTACTGCATTATTGCCCACCTTGTTAAATTTTTTCTCATTATTTAAAAAATACAGTTTTACTTTAAGACATGAAATACACACTAATATATTAATTAACAACATTAAAATATAGGTGAATGAGGCATATATACCCATAATTGCAGGCGGTCAAATCTTAATGAATCCATGATTAAAATGAAAAGTCTGAATCTCTCAATCCCACAATCACTACACAATTACATGTTATTTACAATGGTTACACATAAAGTGACATTTGGAGTCAATTATCGCATCACTAGCAACACTATTAAAATTCCCAACAAGCAATTGACATTTCCTCTAGGTAAATGTCTGCAAATGAGAGCCAGACAATGGGTAATTCTATTTTTCACACTCTGTCTGAGGTGGACAACCTATTCCTAGTGGTTTTAACCTTCTGGCAGAGAACACTGGACAGAACTCTGCAGATCTCATTGGCTATTTCTAGCTGCAGCATCTATTTCTTCCTTGTAGGCCTCATACGTAAACAATTTAAGACAAACAATGTGTTGTCCCTACAGTTACCCTAGTCATTAAGCTAGCAAGGTGTTTAGATTTTATGTTCAAACACTTCCTGAACAAATGTAAACCACTGATCTAAAGATTGTAAAAAACTATAAGCTTTCTCAAGGAATAAATTTTCTTCAATCCATCTTTAATTAGTATAACTCATTCTTCCTTTTAAAAATAGTCACTACTTTCCTTTCCTGTGGGCTTTTTTTTAGCTGCAGTACTCACTCTATGCTTTCATAAATACAATTATATGTGATGCTTACAAGTTTTTGATCCTAGACATGTCAGCTTCTGTATTATTTTATCCACACATCAACAAAATACATGACTCTAGGAGTTACATAACTATCATAAATCTAAATCAACATTTGCATTTTTAATTGTGGGAAATCTGTATTAAAAATGTTTACTTAATTCTTCTCTAAAATTAAAAAAATCATATTAAGTTATGGATTATAAAGCTCTTTACATGTAAGTGTTAAGCAAAACACTTCACAAATGACACCCCAACTCTTACAGTTTGACTGCGATCATTAGATATTTGTTTTCTTATTTTATCTGCCACATCTCAGGCAAGTGAAAGTAAAGTGCAGGTCTCTAAATTCACATTATTCATTCATCTAGTATGTGAACACATAAATCTACGAATATAAATTTGGAGGTAAGACTTGAAAGAGGTATTTTACATGAGTTAGCTTAATATTTCATTTTTTTTTTTTTTTACTTAATTAACCCTATGAGGCACAATTCTTACTGGAAACACTAGCTGTCTTTGTGTTAAATAAGGAAATAAGTCTCAATAAAAAACTCATTTTCTGTAGATCAGAAGCTTCAATCCCTCGAGGAAGTGTAAACAAATATCTTCCTTATAGTACAACACTCAAATAACCTACAGTAAACAGAAAGGCAGAGAAAGTTGAAATTCTTAGCAGAAATAAAATATGTTCTATAGCTCAGACAATACAGCTGGACTGTTCAAGGAAGTGGTACATTTCAATAATGATATTGAAGACTGCTAAAGAATCATAGTGAAATGTCCTTCAATTTCCAGACACAGAAATATATTCACATGTAAATAAATACGTCATGAAATTATCCTTCATAACCTCTGAATTTTACTGATCTGTTACAGTAAACTAGTGTGCTGTCTCTTAAGAATAAGCAGTACTACATAATAGAAGGCATAAACGTCCATTCTGACTTTTATTGTACAATTATTTGTTCAATCTCTATGAACTATAGCATAATATATAAATTTTTGAATTTCTTTCTTCTTGTCAACAAACTTATTTAAGACAATTCAATTGTTGATGAAAAAATGTTGATAGATGAAATACACCTAATTTTAAATTAGGGTACATATACAATAAAGCTTGATATCAGATTTTAGCTTCAAATGACCATAATTTTAAACAAACTTGAAATCTAAGCTATTTGGGGCCGGGTGCTTGCATATTTCAACTGACAAAGCATATGAACTTGTTTTTCTTGAAAAAAAAAAGAAGAAGACTTTTTAAGGATTACTATATGCATTCCTATGTACCTCTAGATTCTTTTTGTGCCCCCCATCGAAGTAGACAGAATTGAACTTTCTTGAATAGATAGATAGATAAATTTTATTTTCCAATTTTGGGCCCAGAAGGCATACAAGCTTTTTACAATGAAAAGAGAGAAAGTTCTGAATGAAAGGTTACATACACACAGATAAACACACACACACACATATACATGCATATATATGATATAATCCATAAAAGTAACTTTAGGTGCAGTTGGGGTTATCAAACTGCAATTGACATGTGGTCATAAACCTGTATTAACAATATATACCACAATACAAACAATTTATATACATCATAAAGATGCTAGAATTCTGTGGCTCTACAGTTCTTGAGAAAATGCTTTTTCAATACTTTACCAACTGTATATATTTCTGTGTAATTATTAACTAATTAACCTATGAACTCTTGCAGTGACCCCACCGTAGCCAAAGTATTGTACCCTGTGTGAAACACAGACAAACAGCTGGAAAAAGAGAAACTTCATCAGACAGACAGACAGACATACAGACATAAGTATTTATATGAGGGTAACTAAAAAAACAAAACAAACAAACAAACAAAAAAACCCACTTCATAAAAGTTTATACAATTCTTTTGGTGATAAAAAATTCTATTTTGGAAAAAAACATCTTTCAGGAAAATGCTGCAATTGTAAATAGCACAAAGAATTACAGTATCTTATTCAATCTGAAATACTGTTGACTTTATTATTCATCAGATTTGTCACTTAAATTTTATAGACATTAAATAGTGTTCCTATAATAAAAGACACCTGACCTAATCCTTTGCTATAGAGAAAAAAAAGAGAATATTTTCCTTATCCAATAATCTGAAGCATTTATGCCACTTGAATATAGGGTTTCGTGGTTGTAATCAGGCCACTGTTTGAGAAATCTTCCAACTGAAGACTTAATGATCCCTCTACCTAAGTATATAATGCTTTTTTAAGTTTAATTCTGGTCTTGTAGGCATTGTACAAAAATATGGAACCCAACATAATCCATGTCTCAAAATACTCCAGCTTCAATCAGCAATGGTTTTTTGTTTTGTTTTTTTTTACAAATACAATGGAACCATTGGACATGGAAATGAAAATCTTGATCAAACAAAAATAGCAGCTATAATTTTGTCTTAATTAATAGTGATATTCTTTTGAATTCAAATGTGTCAAGTTTAAACTGAAGAGTTAATGTAATTGTGTATAAATAGAAAACTGCATGACTTTTGATTACTTTGTATCCTTCTTTATTCTATATCAAAAACACTGAGCTAAAATCATTAGAAATTTGAGGTACAATTGCAGTATTTGGTGAATATAGGTTGTATGTTAATTTTATTTTAAATTTGAAAAAAAAAATCTTCATTAAATTTTTCCTAAATATAAATAATTAAACAATTATGTCTATAAAGACTGTTTCAATAAGAATGAGCAGAGCATATTTCTTGAAAGCACATATGGGTCATTACAATGTACTATTCAAAAATTTTACAGCTCTTTCATGTCCAAAGTTGAGAAAAACATAAACATGATATATACTTTAGTAGAATCAGAAGTCTCTGACAAGACTGTAGCTCTACTGGTTTGTACTTATAACAAAGGAAGAGAAAAGTAGCACTTGGACTTGGAGCTTTGCAACAACAATAAATAGAATAATGATCCTTGGTTTAGTCTCTTTTTTGTGGCAAGATTTATTGCAATCAGAACAAGAGGCCCATGGGCCACATCGCTCACCTGAGCACATTGGCTAGGCAAAAGCACAATCAGTTCAGTATTGAAAAGACCGAAGGAGGGGGGGGGGGGGGGCTTGAATTTTAAACTACCTGATGATGCTTCCATGTCAATATAACAAATGGCTTTGTTGTACTTGAGAAGATTTTTTTTTAAAAATTCCCATATATTCCTTTGTAAAAATTTGATCCCTCATTGTGGCTCCTCCCTATCCCAGGGGTCATCATTTGAACAAACTTGAATCTACACTACCTGAGGATGCTTCCATATCAATATGACTAAACATAGCTTTTCTGTTTTTGAGAAGAAATATTTTTTCTATATGTTCTTATGTAAAACTTTCCATCCCCCATTGGGCCTCATCCTACCCCTGGGGGTCATCATTTGAACAAAATTGAATCTACACTACCTGAGGATGCTTCCATATCAATATGACTAAACATAGCTTTTCTGTTCTTCAGAAGAAGATATTTTCCTTTATATTTCTATGTAAAACTTTGATCCTCCATTATGGCTCCACCCTACCCCCGGGGGTCATGGTTTGAACAAACTTGAATCTACACTGCCTGAGGATGCTTCCATATCAATATGACTAAACATAGCTTTTCTGTTCTTGAGAAGAAATATTTTTTCTATATGTTCTTATGTAAAACTTTCCTTCCCCCATTGGGCCCCACCCTACCCCCGGGGGTCATGATTTGAACAAACTTGAATCTACACTACCTCAGGATGCTTCCATATAAATATGCCTCATCATGGCTTTGCTGTTCTTGAGAAGAAGATTTTTAAAGATTTTTCCTATATATTTCTTTTTAAAACTTTGATCCTCCATTGCGGCCCCGCCCTA